GCGCGCCCGCCACAGTGATTTCCCCGCAGCATCGCAAACATGTTACAATGTTAGCCAAATCATAAGCGCCCCCGCCACAGTGATTCCCCCGCAGCAGCGCATACCGGTTAGCCAAGTGATAAGCGCACCCGCCACAGTGATTCCCCCGCAGCAGCGCAAACATGTTAGCCAGATGATAAGCGCACCCGCCACAGTGATTCCCCCGCAGCAGCGCGAACATGTTAGCCAAATGATAAGCGCACCCGCCACAGTGATTCCCCCGCAGCAGCGCAAACATGTTAGCCAATTGATAAGCGCACCCGCCACAGTGATTCCCCCGCAGCATCGCAAACATGTTAACCAAATGATAAGCGCACCCGCCACAGTGATTCCCCCACAGCAGTGTAGACATGTTAGGCACATGATAAGCGCACCCGCCACAGTGATTCCCCCGCAGCAGCGCAAACTGGTTATAAGCGCACCCGCCACAGTGATTCCCCCGCAGCAGCGCAAACATGTTAGCCAGATGATAAGCGCGCCCGCCACAGTGATTCCCCCGCAGCAGCGCAAACCTGTTAGCCAAATGATAAGCGCACCCGCCACAGTGATTCCCCCGCAGCATCGCAAACATGTTAGCCAAATGATAAGCGCACCCGCCACAGTGATTCCCACGGCAGCAGCGCGAACATGTTAGCCAAATGATAAGCGCACCCGCCACAGTGATTCCCCCGCAGCTCGGGAAAGCTGGCCCCCGTGGCTTATCGCAGGAAAAGGCCGGCTTGCCTTTTGATCCCCTCGTTAATCTTTTCTTAACGTGCAAAAACATATTCAAAGGGATCCTATTGCGGGGGCAGTTTGTAGCTGTTTTCTTTGCTTTATGTCCATCCTCGTTGGTGTTTCTCCTTCCCGCTCGGTCCCTTGCCAGTACAATTTTCTGTCATCCTTCTCCTTCATCGCAACCGAAGCGCGGGAGATCTGATTCTTGGATGCAAAAGACTATACCCTAGCCCTCACCTTGTGATATTAAGATTAGAGGACCCTTGGTGTTCAAAGGGACCACACGAAAACCAGTTGTTGGTTTTCAAGGGGACAAGGCCCAGCCCCAAGCTTCTCGGCTCTTTCAGCCAGGTCTTGCCAAGGGCAACCAACTTAGGAGTTGATCCACAGGAGACCGGCAAGTCTTCTCGAAGTCGTGGGGGTGTTTCTCTCTCCAAGAAAGGGAGGCAACTTCCCCACGTCCAAAACTCCTGCGTTTTTTTTTTTCAGAAAACTACCATGCAAGACCGCCGGCTTTCATGAAAGAACAATGGATGAATGGGCATCACCTCCAAGAGGCAACAAGTTGCGATTCCTTGCAAGGTTTAACTGATGTGCCCACGACCAGAACAATTTAGCAGGCATCCGAAAGGTTGGAGTTGTTTACCCTAGTGGAATGAACCTTCAAATGCAGACGGATGTGCCTTGAGACCAAGACCCTGAAAACCTGGGGTTGGGGATGCTAGACCCTCAGGGAAAATTGACAATGATAAGGATTCCTATGAAGGGAACCATATGACCCAGAGATTTGCTTTTGCGGTTGCAACAGTTGGGTCGACTAGCTAACAGGGCGTGTTCGATTGTTCGGTCTCTTTTGTAATTTGAGGCTTTGCTGGGGCTTGTCCATTTGTTTGCTGTGTGCGAGATGCCCTATGAACTACAAGTATATAAGCTTCCAGGTGCTGTGAGAGAAAGTCTATAGCATTTGGTCCCTGCAAAGGGCTGGAAGTGCCACTTGCCGATTTATGGCCAACTTAGCCAGGGTAGTTCTTGCTCATCGCTCGGGAACCAAATCAAATTCCCCAGTGACCACTGGCACCGCGTTTGGGGTGAGGTGGGGATTGTTTTTTGGGCTGGCATGGGCGGAACCCCCCAAAAAGTATTTTCCTATGTCCACTGGCTTTTGAGTTTGTGTAGGGGCTTGTTGCAGTTGTCTACTGTCGGCACGCCGACTGCCAGACAGTACAACTTTAAAGGCACCCACAAGGTTTGCCAAAAGACCCCTCTGAGCAATTGTTTGGCACCTTCCAGAACCCCCGCGAAAGACGTCCCTTTCCGGCCCAAAAACACAAGGTTTGACAAGCTCGTAGAGGGAACCCCCGCTCAAGGCTAGCCGAATAACACAAAGCTCCCTCTGATTGATCCTGACCACAACGAAGAGGGGACTCACTCATTTTGCTACGTCCCTTAATGGAAACATCCTATGATCGTCATGGCCCGCCCAATGGGGCCCCCCGCCCAATGGGGCGCCCCAATCCCAATAGGGCTGAAAGCGACTGACAGCTACCAGAGGCTTTGTTTTTTTTTTTTAAACGTGTTTTTTCTTTGGGGGGGGCCCTGACAACTCTGGGAAAGCACATGCATCTCAGCCCGCCTGCCCCGCAATGTCGCAGGAGCTCGCAGTGGCCAAGCGTATCATGAGCTTCGAGGCCGATGTCTCGCCGGTCTGGACAGCGGAGGGCGTCTCCTCCAAAATATGGGGATGTCGATCTTTTTGGGGGAGCCCACTGGCGGTTTTCCCCTTTTGGTTTCCTTGTAAGCAACAAACAATGACCCTCAAAAAAGACGCTCATGAGGTTGAATCCGTTTGTAGGTCCCGAACCCACCACACTAAAAGGGCGGTGACACGGCTAAATCCACTGAACCACTGGGTTTAAAACCGGCATCAAACCTTGGCCAAACCCCAGTTTCAGCAAAACCATCGGTTAGGATTCTGTGCAATCCAAAAAGAATCAATAGACAGGCCTGGCAGGTGTTGTGTCGGGATCCGTTTTAGCACCGAAATTGCTCACTTATGGGCGCTGCCCACTGGTTGCAGGGATGTCTTCAGACGGCCCCGGGCCGTTGGATGTGAACAAAACGGCACCGGTTTCACATTGAGGGCTTTCCCTCGTTTCCTCTTTGGTAGGGGCCGTTAGGAACACACCAGGGTACATGCAATCAATTAAGCTAGCAGTGTTTGGGGCTCCGATTGTTTCAACCTTTTGTCCCGCTTGAACATCACTTGTGAAAGGCCTATTCAGAGTGACTGTCTTTTTTGTTGTCAAGGTACAGATAGGCAATCCACGAGGTCACCTCAGATCACATTGCTTCTCGCAGTTCGAATGTCGGCACCAGAGATCTCCTTGTTGGTTTGAACAGAATCTAGTCGTGCCCTCCCCTTTCTGAGGGATCATTGTGGTGCAGGATTGGTCCATCCACAGTACGATGCAACAGCTGAATATACCGAATCTCCCAGGATGTTCATTTGCAAGCTTACCTGGTGACCTGCAAAGGACAATATTTGTACCCTTTGTGTCCCTCAAATACTGCCACCCCCGCATGGACCTTGCGGCCCAGAAAATGTATCGTGCATCGCAAGGTTCAGCAGAGCGTTCTGGAGGAGGTGGAGGGTGTGCGTGCGGGCCTGAGAAGCACAGCAATTTGATCACAGTGGTTTTTTCCATTCCAGTGATTCCATTCCCTGATTTTGAAGGTAAGGCGGGTCCACCCTTAATGAGGACAATGGCGAGTTAAGTCTCACCTTCCCTGATTCGGTAAGCAACCAAGGGGCTCCCTTCAAGAAGTAAAATGAACATGGCTTGTTGTTGATACTCTGTTCCGGGATTTGGCGATAAATTAAGTGGTAAAAGACCGGTTCCTGTACTTTGGGTTGGTAGCCCAGGCACCCACTGGTGTGTTTGTTTCTTTTTATGGCCGGGGGGGGATTCCCTTTGACATCAACTACCAAAACAAGATGCATTTTTTAACCATAGTCTGCGGGTCTGGGGTGGCCCGGAGGTGAACAACTTGGGGTTTCGCAAGGTTCTTAAGGGATTGCACTCTGTGCACAGTGAACTCACGGGCCCCCACACAGCCAAAAGACCCAGTTTTCCATGCCCTGGTTGCCTTTTGCTCTAGCAGGTGGCCCTTTGCACGGTGGCTGCGATTGTTTTTACAAGGGGGTTGTGAGCCCGAAAGCAAATGGCACCAAGGAATCGAGTCCTTTTCAAGGATCCTCTTAACATGCCCTTTGATTCTGGGCGGCGGAATCAACAATTCCCGCCTGAACTAAGTGACACAGCCCTCATGACCCGCCATTGAAGGGTCTTTCTCAGACCCACCCATCAAAACCGGGATGTTTTCGTCGGAGATCGAGGGAGTACATGATGATTTGCCACGTGGGTTCCCTTGTCTCGCCTGATTCAAGGTGGCACAGTGCGACAGCTTGCCGAGTCGGTGGCGAAAGTGCAGGCCCGGTGCTCGGAGTGGCGTTGCGGGTCCAGGCACAAACCACTGATCTCAGACCTCTCTGGGGTGTTTCCTTTGCTCAGTTTGGTGTGGAATGCAGGAGAGGCCGGGTTCCTTCAACGTCAACCAAGTGGAGATTGGTTCCCTCAATTTTGGGGGAGGAGGGGTTCCTTTGAAGTCAACTACATCTCCAAACAAAGGTGTCACTCACAGGAGGTGTTGGAGGCTGATATCGGCGGAAGCAAGTGTCAACACCTGGTTGCATGCTCCGCCCCACGCTGCCACTTGTTTCATTAGGAGGAAGATGTAAGAAATCACCAGGGTTCGCAATTGGAAATTATATGCAGGGTTGGGCCAAATCCTTTCAGTCTTTGAGTGAAAGAGTTGTGGGTGTGCCTTTGGGGTACTGTATCCTTCTTAGGGTTGCATCAAAGGGAAACCAACAGGAGACCGTCCATTTGAGGGGTTCCTCACCTGCGGTTTACAAACAGGTCATCCACTGCAAGATTAGATGAATTTACCATGGTTTCAAGTGTGTGTTTCTCCAACATAAGGAACCCCTCCAGGTTGTTGGTTTGCTATTTGGAGAGACTCTATGTTCACAAAGTGAAGTGCCTACCCCTTCGTGACCCCCTTGCAAGGTCAGAATCAGAGGTGGGGTCCCACTTTTCTGTAACAACCCTCGGGGTTCACAAAACCCGGAGGGTCAAAGTGAGTCGGGCTCCATTGGTTTCACTTTCTACCCCACGGTCTTGGCTGGGTGCATTTCCGCACGTGGTCATTCTAGTTTGCTTAAAGAAAGCCAATAGGGGCTTTTCTCCTAGAAACCAACAGGAATTCCAACGCATTTTTCTGTTTGGTTTCTCTAAATGGAGTCTCAGGACGCCCATTTTGGCTTGAGGTCTATGACTTGATGGTCAGGACATGGAGACTGTTTTGGACGCCAAACAGGTTCAGCCTGGCCAATTTGGGCTTCTCGTCCAAGGCTCACAAAGCCCGGCGCTTGAAATACCGGCCCCATGGGTCGCGAAGATTCTCAGGCGGCAGCTCTTTCGCGCGCGAAGAGCCCGGCCCGGGGCTCCAGGGGGTGCCCAAAATGAACTGTTGGTAATGTTGCCCCAGTCCAGTGGCACCCCAAAAGGGCTTCCTTGTTCATGTTGTCCGTTGCATCCCAGGTTGCCTCGTGGTTTCTTTTGGGAAGCGGTCGATGATCTTGAAACTTCCCTACCTCGCATCAATTCAAACACTCAAGCTGTTTAATTATAGGGACACCACTGCCCTGCAGTCGCCGAAGCGCATCAGAGGCTACATCAGGGACTTGACCAAAGACTCAAGGTTTGAGGGGTTAGCGGTAAATTGGGTCGACCAAGGCCAAGTGTGCCATGGTCAAAACTCCATATGATGGTTTTCTCCCTACCCCAAAGTACAGTGGTGTTTTGACCTCTGCGGCTTGTCGATCAGAGACTAGCACCCTCCGGTGAGAGTGGTGTTTTGACCATGGCACAAGCAAGGTAAGGCTCAAACATCCATGCTTGTTCTCAGTGGGCAACATGTGCATGTTTTGGGAACGACGCGAACTGACCCGGTGAAACCATAAGATTAAGATAAATGGGTTGGTTCATTCCCTACGAACCGGGGAGGGGTGTGTGCCGCGCGCTACCACCTTCCCACTGCCACTCCTGGGGTTTGTCAAAGCAAAAATGTGAAGCTTCTGCAAAAAGAGGGCATAAGAGAGCACGGGCTATGAGATCCCACACTTGTGGCTCCAAAACTTCTGGCCTGTACCATTTTATAGGCCTTATCTCCAACCCATGGCGGTGAATCAACCGAGTCCTTTGGGCTTCTCCGAGGGGATGAGTTCCGGCAGTGCCGATTTAGCTTTGATCACCCAGTGCCATCGACTTTTCTCTTGGCACGCCCAAGAGGCGCTTGTGCTCGCCTTGTGTTTCCACTTCTTGCCTATGATGTCCAGCGGGGGCAGGTTGGCCCCATTTTCTGGGTCAAGGGAAGATGGATTTATGCAAAGTGTTTAGATCCCTGGTTTGGGTGTGAGCACTCAGAAGGTCTCCCAAAGAATGGGGGAAGTGCAGATGAAATCGTTAGGGGCTTCGCAAGTGGAGACAAACCTTTTTGGCAGTTGTCAACATCAGCACCCCAATCCTAGTTTTGACAAGTCCCTCACGAGTTGCTTGTTTCATTTGCGAAAATTGGTGTCCCCCTTCCGATTAACCATCGTTCCTAACAAAAACAGAGCAGCTTTCCTCAGTTTTCTTTGGAGAGAATCTTGAAGTCACTGTTCTTTTTAGTGGTCGCCAAAGTGTAAACCTAGGGGCTTCCTTTTTGAACTCCATTTGTGGGTATCCAATACCAGAACCCTATCCAGAGGCCTTGGCTTTGCCAAGCGTGGGCAGCGTGGAGCGCCAAGTGCAGGGCGCTCAGAGGGTCTTGGGCCGAGTCTTAGGGCGTTTTGCTCAAACAGGTGTCTTGGTGGTTCCCAGCCATGAACAGTAGTTTCTACAGGGGTGTGCACACAACAATTCCCCCTCATAGGGCAAAAATGAACAAAAGCCCAGGATGCCCTTCAGCGTTTCGCGTCGACCGTCGCTTGAGGCCTGGGCTGGGGGACTGAGGTCGTAGCCCCCCTCTTTCCGCTGCTTCGATGAAAATTGATCGTGGGGGGTTCTTTTTGTTTAGACGATTAAATCAACTCAGGCGCTTGGAGCAACCCAGATATAGAGGGCAACACATGGCGCTGGTTCCAGGCCTAGCTGCCTGCGTGTTGAGAAAGCCGTTTGTTTGGTTCCAGAGGGCTTGGAAGCTGCAATTGGGCGACGAGCAGCGCCTTTTCCACCAGAACCCTGGACAATCCTGGCCAGGATCCCAGGATCACGTCATGCATTGGATAGTTGATCTTCAAATGGGGGACCCCTAAAATGGATGTTTTACTTTTGGTTGATCTTCAACGCCACTGAAAATGGCGTGTTGCTTGCTTGCTGCTTCCCAGGTGGTCTAAACTCGAGCCCAAGATCGAGAGGATCCTCCAAGGTGCGGCCGACGGGTCGCCCATGCGGTGGTTCCGTTTCCGGGTTTATAACAACACCTGCTAAGTGTGGCAATGACGACAATTCCTGCGCTGCAAGACTTTGCTTTCCTTTTGCAGCATGTTTATGGAAACTTGGGTTTTAGGTTGCCAGTTTACGCGATACCAAGGGTTGGATTATTGGAAGTGATCAGGGTTGCTTGCCTCAAAACAATGACCAAATGATGCTAGATCATTTGTATTTCCTGTTCCCTTGCCAGGGGTGTCGGAGCCCCCGGATGATTGATCTTAGGGGGTCCGAAGGGGGGCAACAAAGCCGGTCTGTCCGGGCCTGCTGGGAATGTCCTGTTTGAAATGGGTTGGAATGACCTCGAAGTTGGATTTGTGTCCAGCAGTCCTAATCCCTGGTTGGTGGTGAAACCCTTTACATACTGGTCCAAAGTTGAATCCCATTTATGTGGGGGTTATGTTTCTACATGGCAAGGTGCCCTATGTTGAGTGCGAATCCATATAATGGGCCGAACAATTACAGACAGGCATGATTGCCCTACGATCATGACGCAATTCAGTTTGATACTACCCATTCGGTCTTGTTTCGGCATTTATGTTGTCCGGAGCATCCTCATTTTGCCTGAGGGAAAGCCATGGAATGGATGTATCTCACCGAGCCCTCGCTTTTTGCCAGACCTTCCCTCTGAATTATTGGATTAGATAGGTGCAGGAGTTGGATGTGTTGAAACCACCCACCCAGCTGTTTTGATGGATGGTCAGCCGCAATCAAAGCCTAGTTTAGTGTGTTTACGCCGTGTTGGGCAGACCTTGTCAAACAATACCAATTGTTGGTTTGACTCAGATGCCTTCCGAATCTTTTGGATGGTCAGATCCTCTTCGGTTTTATCGAACCGCAGGTGCGGTGACCAAAGCTTCTCGTCAACTGCAGATGGCTTCAGAGGCGTGGGCCATGTCTTCAATCATCCCCTACCCAATGGTGGTCCTATGTTCGGGGACACTTTTTCAATTGTTCAGTCTGTCAAGGTTGTCCTGTATTGGTGGCAGCCCTGCACTTCCCTACATTACTGTGCCAGAAATTGACTGGAGCGAGGTGGCCGCACTGTGTGACCCTGGTAGAGAAAGGAAACCCGTTTGAGGCTGGCCATTTTGATTATTGTGGACGGCGCCAGACTGATGCGCAACCTCCGTGAGGTTCAGATCTAGGGGCACGCTTGCAGCATTCTCCCCTTCTCTCTCTCTCTCTCTCTCTCTCTCTTCTTGCTTTTTTGTTTCTTTCGATTTGTCTTGCTCTTTCTAAGTTCTTGGATTATTATTATGTTTACTTCTTGTTTTATTACGTCCTCTTTCTTTATATTATTTTATGTTTACCTCTGTTTCTTTCTCTTTTTTAACTTACTCGTACGGCTACTCTTTCTCTTTTATTTCTCTTTTTGCTGTCGCTCTCTCTTTCTCTTTCTCTTTTGCTGTTGCGGCGCCTGGCCTTCTGAAAAGCGCTGCGCCTGTCACTCAATCTGCGCCCGAGCGAAGCCCGCTGTCACGAAATTTGTACCTGACCTTGCGAAAGTATTGCGCCTGCCATGCATAGAACTTCACATTGCTGAAGTGCTGCGCCTGTCACACAAACTGATGTTGCGTCGGTGCCAATGGGCCCGTCGCGCAAGTGGTTATACCTTTGACTAATACTCCTAACACCATGGCTTAATGTACCCAACCCACAACCCTATTCTATTTATGTAGGTAGACGTGGATGTTATGTGTCAGTAGTTTTCAGATCCCCTTCTTCTGGCTGCACATCAGAAGTCACGTTTTGCATCCGGAAAGGGAGGCTTCCTGCAAAACTCGGCAACCAGTGGTCGAGCCATTTTGCAAGCGCGTTCCTTGGCACAGAGAGGGTGACAACCATGTGTGGATAATCATGTCTAAGCAACATCTCGCATGCTGTTGCTAATGGAGATACACACATTTGAGAATGCCCGGTTTTGAGGACATTTAGTAAGTCCCATGTCCCTCAGTTGACCATGGACCACTCCTCATTTCGACCCAAACCTTTGTGAGTGTTCGGTGGTCCTGCATAGCCCTTTGTGGCAGACTTTGCAAATTGCAACGATCTCTTCGGGTAAATCAATCTCACGCATGATGAAGGTCGGGCTAGGAGTTCCATGACTTTCCGTTGTGGACACATGGTTCTCTTACAATCATGACGTGTTCAAGCAGCCCGGCGCACAACCCTATTTTATTTTTGTAGGCCCCCAACATCCATTCCACCGTAAGAGAGAGGAAGTCTATGTCCATAAGAGAGGAAGAGTTAGAGCTGGAACTCGTCGACTGCGAAATACTTCGAACGTCCAGCTTTTGCAACACATCCTGCGAGAAGCGTTGGATGCGAGGCAAAGCAAAGTCTTTGCAGTTGTGTCTGAGATGATGGCCCCATGTAGTGACCCGGATGGATGATAAGGATTCTAGGAACCAGTTTGGGATGCCCAATGTGGATTTCACCAGTCCCCTGTTGTTTCGCTCTCTTGGCACCTTTCAACACTTCTTGAGCGTGGATCATTAGCTCAAATTGGCATGCACAACCCAATGGGGGATCAACTGCTGGGCTATGTTGTCCACAAGGACACTATAATGCAATTAATTAATTTCTTGCATGTTCTCCAGATGGCTTAGAACATCATTTGAGTTTAGGTACCAACGGGATTCACTATTTGGGGTCAAGTATCAAATATAGGGCTGGGTGTCTAAGGGCATGGACCTTGGCATGGGCGTTTGTTCCAGGTCCACTACTGCACCTCTGGTTTGGAAAGTTTATCTTTTTGTCAGACTCTATTAAACCTCCGTAGAAGGTGTATTCTTCATGACCCTCTGATTCACCCCTGACCCCATTAGGCAAATTCTTGTGCTCCAGAACTCAGGTACCCCTCAATTAGGATTGGTGGCTTGGGGTTTTGAACCCCAGCTCCTTGGAAGCCAAGACGCCCTGCCTTTCGTTAGCGGCCACCGCATGCCAGGCGGCGCTCAAGGCCCTCGAGGCTAACTCTCGGGTCGATGCTTTCGGGGGCAACTGAATCCGAAGGAACGATCCCTGCACGAGGAATTTGGAAGTTGTTGATGGGCTTGTCTTGCGACAGAGGCATCTTAGATGTGTTCAAAACTATCGGATCCATTGCAGGGTCAAGTGACTATCTGTTTGATAGCTGAAGCGTATGGCCTTACCACAACCCCAAGCAAACCAAGTAGAGCCAGCTAGGCACCCTTTAAATCAACTACCAAGGCTACCCTATGTGTTGTGTTTCCACCACTGGTCTGGATCAAGAAACAAGGGATGGGCATTGTATGGCTATTCAGCCTCCGTTTAAGAAGCAGACATGTCTTGAATTATGTTTTTGTTGCGCTGCGGGTTGTTACCTGGTCGTGGGATGCCGAAGTTGGCAATTCTCACTCACCCAACCTCGCCTCCGAGTCTAGTCCAAAATTTGGATGATCGAAAGAGGTGGGCGGGAGAGTCCGTGATATTTTTTTTTCCGGGTTTCTTTTTTCCTTGTTTTCTCGAGTCAGGCATGCACCTTCGAGCACTTCGACACCAACGGTGACGGGGTCATCACCCGAGAGGAGTTCGAAGAGGCTTCCAGAGATCGCCGATCGGGGGGGGGTGTTGGGTTAATGAGTTACCCTCTTATGTTGGGTGCCGGCGTTCCTATGTTCCTATGGTTGAAGGTTCCACTTAAATGGTCAATCTGATTCTGCTGGCTTTTTTTAATGCTTAGTCAAGGTTCCAAAAGGTACTTGCGAGGTCCCTTGATGGTTCTTTAGTGGGAGATTCATTTGTAGCCTTTGTGAAGAACTGGACGAAGGCATCCCTGGGTTGGATACTCTCCTGCGGATTTGATCATGGAACCCAGGAACAGGCAATCATTTTTAGAGGACTTGTTGCTTGCGGAACCTACATTTGGGTTTCATGTTCCAATTTGCAGGGGAGTACATAGTACAAGAAGCTTCTAAATTTCGAGTTGGAGCATCGTTTGCCTTTGATCGAAGACCCACCTGTGGGGTCCAACGAGTGGCTTCATTTTCCGCCTTGACAGGGCCGGAAGAGGATTCTCGGTGCGAAGGATCAGAAGGACCGGGCGAATGCTGTCCGTATGGCGCAATGTTTCAAGCTTGTGCTGGCTCGGGTGCTTTACGCAGATCCCAAAGGACGCCAAAAGGATTTGGGGCTCTTTTTACGCTCAGGTGGGTTCCTTGTGACGTTCCGCGCGTGTCACATGCAACATGCCATAGAGATGCCACGCTGGGGAGAGGCTTTGCTGTTGAAAGCGGTTGTCTACATGGTGCATTTCGTGCAGTGTCATGGCCTTTTTGTTTTGTTTTCCTTCCCCTCACAATCAACTACCCGAGAGAGGGTTACCTTTTTTAATACGGGTGTTGGTAACTGATGCCTTCTGGAAACATGCGGCCTTGCGAGGAGCCGATCGCCTCGGTTCAGGCGGCTGCTCGATCTCCAGCCATCGGTAGCAAACCGCTGTTCGTTTTGAAGGGGGTTGAAAGCACCCAGCCTCTTTTCAGCTGTTCTCAAGAGAACAATTGTGAGTCGCGATATGTTTTGCTGGGTAGCTTGCCACCTTCTGTGGTACCCGAGCAATGCACTTGAAAGTCACAAATAAGACAGGGATTGCCCGCCTGGGTACCACCGATATAGTCTAATCACAAAACCATTTGGCTGCGGGATGCGGCAAGGGGGCCGTCAATGGTAGGCCATCCCGTTTTCCTGTAGCACTGGTTGTTTAGATCACGTATGCATGGTTGTGGCGATGCCATAAGGCAATTGGTGCTCACAGCTTTCTTGCCAGAGTCGTTTGCTAGGTTTTGGTTGCAAGGCAAGGAGGCAAATGCTGGCGCCTATGCGTTCTGTACAAGCGGTTCACTTGTAAACAGTGAAAACAAAGTCTGGGAAGTAAAGCAGGGACTGGGCAGAGAAGGATTTGCGATGTCAAGACTTGAGGATGACTTACCAGCCACGGCACTCTGCACCAATCCCCACTTGTACGTCGCTTTGTTTGCCTGACCATAGAGAGACACTATCCGTGAAGCAAGGCATGGGCACGTCAAACAGTGGAAGTACATACCTTTTGTCACCCGTTTATTCCGTGGTCACCAATGATTTATACACGCTACAAGCCGTTTGGGGCCGGTCAACGCCCAGGCCAGTTGTCCGATCCCCAAGCACCAAGCAAGCAAGCCAACCACAGGCCACGGGAAAGCACGGGAGTGTACTTCTCCACGGGAGTGTGCTTCTCCTGTACTTGCAACCGTCCTTCTCCGATGACCAAATCACAAGGGTAGACATTTGGCCGGGATTTCTTTGATTCCCTTTGCCGGGTACCAATTGTCTACTTGTGTGCCAGGAATTGCGGGGCAACCCTTTGCGATAGAGCCCGTGCGGAAACGGAATGCCACATCTACTCCCCCTTTGGAGGCTGGGTTTTCACGATCCAGCCAAATTGCCGGCCTTATGTGCAGATATGTAGATATTGCAAACATATGCTATGTTTATTGAATCTTCCCATGCTTATTTAGAAACATACTCTGTATATATAGGTCCTACAGTCAAGCATCGAATGCCCAACACCCGCTGCCCTTGGTCGATATGGGTGTCTCTCTTTTTGAGGGTACCCTTTTTTGGGACAGGAAAACCAAAGGGAGCAACAAAATCGGAACGGGGCTTCCCCTGAGACAACCCATGCCCTGGAAATGTGGAAAGGCATCGAAGGCGACGAAGGCGAAGCCAATGGCACCCGAGGCGAGACGCGGTTGGGATGGATGAAACCTTTGAAAACTTGCCAAACCACCTACCAGCACTCCCCAACCACTTGGGATTTTGGACACTTGGGTTTTTGGACATGGGAAAAAATCCGTTGGGGGTGCTACCAATTGGTGGTTTGTCTCCAGAGTATTTGGCAGCTTTGTCCGTTCACCTGGAAGCAACTTGTTGTTGTCAACTCGGCAATGGCTTTGCCACGAAAGGGGGGGGGGACCTTTGGGATGCGAGAGAGAGAGAGAGAGAGAGTGAGAGAGAGAGAGAGAGATCCTTTGTGGCTATCAGGGAAGGCAGAAACACAGCTCAGGACTCTATGAAGTCAGATTTGGCAGACTAGCGGCCAGAGCAATCAATTGTGAGTGGGATAAAACGAGCTCAGGCCCGGTTTTGCCCTCATGGGTAGATATTGAGATATTTACCAATCCATTATAAATACGCTTCCCAATAAGCAGGCTTATTTAAAATCGTATATATATATATATATATGTATAATATACATATGTAGGGTCCTACAGTCAAGCATTGAAGGCCCAAATTCCGCTGCCCTTGGTGCATGGGTGTGTATCGCTTTGAGGGCACCCCTTTTTGGCAATGAATACCAACGGGAGCAACCCATGTTCTGGCCCCAACGCGATGGAAAGGCATCGAAGCCGACGAAGGAGGCGAAGACAATGGCACCCGAGGCGAGACGTGGCTTTTTGGGGCCCCATGGTGAATGTTCTTTATGGATTTCGCAATTTTCGCTGGTGGATTGTAGTAAACAGTGTAGAAATGACAAATCGACGCCAACATGCGACGTCGTCATTTGTTTCTTACAGGGTTTTCTGTGAAGATAGGGGAACCGTCTCTTGGTCTCCCTTGAAAACAACCCCAATTCTTGGTACCCTACAAACCAAATCTCCCAGATTTCGTCATGTGGAATCGAGACCCTTGATGCTTCGCCATTCGCTTTTGTTGTTTGCCGCAGCTTTAGGGAGGTGTTTTGCCAGGTTGGAACTTGGTATGCGCGCTTAGCGGAACCTTCAGGTGGTCCAGGTGGCGAAGATCGAAGCCAAGCCGAAGGCGAAGGCAGATGGCCCAAGCGAGGACGACAAGGCCCGACCAAGTGTGCCCTTAATTTAAGCTTGGCTTGGAGTGCCAAGTTTTGTAGAGTAACCTCCTGGAAAGGGCCTTGGAGTCTCCTTCTGAGCCTTCAAGCATGTTTCATGACACATGAATTTCGGTCACACGACCCCCATGGAGACTGCAAGGGCTTACTCGATGATTTAGGATTCTTGGATAAGGGGCGGGGAGGCGGCCTATTCGCCTGACATTGAAGGAAAGGTTCAAACTGGGCTGCATAGGTGTTTGTTTTCAGGGTACACTTGATATGGGTGTGTGTTTGCTTTTGGGTACCCCCAATTTTGATTGGTTTCAAAGGAAAACCGAAAGGAAATCATCCCTTGTTTACTGTTTTCTGGGGGGTCCCCTACAAAAAAACATACCAATATGAATATGATTGCCTGAACCTGGACATATATTTCGTTTGGAGTACCTTGAAGCTGGGCCAAGCACGCTGCAATTGGCAGGGGAATGTTAGGGACCTACGGCAGTGGGTTTTGTGCCCCCTTTCGGTTGCATGCTAATTTGCTGAGGAAGAGGTCTGGTACGTTGCACAAGACGAGTGGCCAAAGTTTGACTGAAAGTACATGGGTGTCGTACCTGGAGTGGTCGTTGGTTGGGCCAACTGCAAAGAAGGTCTATCAAGATGTGTGAAACCTGCTTTAAATTTAGTCTTTCGGTGTCTTATTTGCAGGCGCCGACCTGATTGACCTGCAGGCATCATCAAAGTGCACGATCACGCGCATGCGCATGATCACGCGCGATGCATGGACGCGTTTCCGTCTGGTGTTGCCCGAAAATACCACGGTCAATTAAGGGTCTGGACCTACTAATAGGCAGGGTCGAGAGAGGCATAGCGCCCACTGTCCAAGTGCCCGTCCACCGGGGACAGGGTTGGTTGTTTCAGCCACTAGTGTTTAACAACCTCATGGGGCTTTGACATGGACGGGGACCAGGAATTGGCTTCAGCCGAATGCGAGGCGTTGTCCGGCAAAGTGCGGCGCATGGTCTACGCCACGGCAGCCAGGCGCCAGAAGGCGGGTCCTCGAGAGAGGCCCTCTAAAACTGCTTCAGGCCGCCAGTTAGGCTTGTTTTTGGTTGTTTGGGTATGGGTCAAAATTAATCCACCAGGGACCGCAGATTTGAGTCCTTGTTTCCATCTACCAGGGTTCCATTTTGGGCACCTATTTTTGACCTGCAGCCATTTGGATTGGTGGTTGGGAGGTGTTCTGGGATGGTTTCCCATTCTCCCTACAAGACACATCGCTTCAATCCAAAGTTCCCACCAATCCAAATCAACGATGTTCCCCAGGCCCAGGCCTCCAGTGGTGCAGTTTCAGCAACTTGTTTGGTTGAGTGGGACCCCTCACGTTGAACGTGGTCAACCCCATCAACCCCAAAAAAGCCTGGTTGGCTTGTTTCTTTTTCTTTCGTCAGTGCAGAGTTGGAAGTCAAACTAGCACTTGTTCAACCAAAAGGGTCACCGGAGGTCCAGGGTGATGATTGGTTCTTCCCTGTGTTGAAGGGGAGAGGTCATGGCTTGTATTGTTGGCACCAAAAAGACGACGGGAACTAACTGTGTGCCTCCCAGGAGCACGCAAAGGCATCTAAAACTGCTACCCAATGTTACAATTTATTTGTAAGTGGTGAATGAGACCATTCCTGGTCAATGATATGGAATGTGTCAACAATCCTGATCGTTGAATGCGACCCCCCGTTTCTTCGCCTTCTTGAAACTGATGGTTTCAACTATTCAAGGGGTCAAAGAGGCCCACCCTTTTTCCCATTGCAGGGCCCTTGGCAACCACACTCCCTGAGTTCCGTTTCGGACTTCCAACTTTTTGGACCATGTAGCATATGTAGCAATCCATCCAGTGGCCCTGGAATCCGGGAGCCGCATCCAACAGCTGAACCTGAGGCCTTGGACATGGGCCCCGACCACTACTCGATCGCTCGATGCGTGGCCGGAGACCTATGAAACAGCGATGGGTCGCCGTGTTGTTTGTTCCCATCAAACCCTGCATGCGTTTGCAGGTTGGGCCAGCCAACTGTTGAAACATGTCTAAACCACTGTTGCAACTGCTTGCTTGTGAATTTCCTCTAGAGGGCTTTGCGGGGAATGTACAACCCATAGGCAAAGAGGCAGCCCGCAAGTGCCATGGTGTTGCGCCGGCTGAAGCTTGGCGGTCGCTCCACTTGTTTGGCCCAGTTTCTAAGAATCCTCAGCAGCGGACTTGGCGCTCGCGCAGGGGCACCGCCAGATAAAGTCGTGCGTAATCCCTGGCCATGCCGTGACGCTCCAGGAAACTGCTTGGAATGAGAGATCTCTTGCAACATGAATTTGCATGGGGTCCACTGAATCAAACATACATGCTTTGGGAGGCAACAGCCGGGGTAGTTGTATGAGCAGGCTTCGTCTATTGAATCTATTGCAGATGTATTCGCCATGTTAAGGCAATGTGCAGGCCAACAAGTGGTTTTTCGCGAGGCGATCTAGCAGGTCGGTTGCCCAAGGCGTGAAGTGCACTCTCAGTGCTTTCCTTAAACTGTGGAACCGCGTCACACTAAGCCCTAGATATGCAAAGAGCAACCGCCCCTTTGGCTTTTAGGATGGTTTCTTTACAGCATGGTTATGTGCTCATGTATATACACACCATTTTCCCTGTGGCCTATGGGTGGCACACTGCAACCAGCTTGCAGGTGAAGCATCTCATCCAGAAGGGCAGCCAAATGGCCTTGACGGTCTCCAGGCGCCCCAAGATGCATCTGATGCGCACACCGTGAGTCGTGCTGAGTCTATTTGCATTATCCGGGTTCTGATTTGGACTCATCTCCTCAAGGCTGGGCTCTAGATCTGGTTCCATCAAAGTAATCTGTTGCTTAGGCGCGGCTTGCGAATTCTAGGTTCGACGATTCTCTTGGCGTCAAAATTGCGGACGGCGTGCTTGGTGTCAAAATGCGAATTGGGAACCCACTCAACTGAGAGATTCTACCCGGTTTTCTTTTGAAGGTTTAACCACTCAGATGTGGAAGACCCTGTATAACCCCTACGTAAAATTATGCAACCATTGGATATCCAATCCCATGAACACCAACACGCACCTGGTTTGGGGCGGTGCCTCGCTTGTGACGTCAGTTTTTTCTCGCTTGTGACGTTGTTTTTTCCTCGCCTGTGACTGGACTATCTCGCTTGTGACGGCACATAATTGGTCACGTAAAACATCGCAAATTACAGCGTTTTGTGGATGGGGGGGAGGGGCATGGCGACCCTAGGTGTGGTTTTGGGGCAAAAGCGTCGGTTGTTCACTTTGTCGCAAGTGAGTGCCATTTCTTGTGTGGTGGAAACACAATGATTGTTTGGTGTTCGCATGTAGTTTTGGCCCGGTGTTCACAACTTGTCCTGATCTGCTTGAAGTTTTGGCCCGGTTCCGAGCACAAGCACGGCACAACCCTAAACCCTAAACCCTAAACCCTAAACCCGCCAAACCCAAGAGCCTAAACCCTAAACCCAAACCCAGAACCCTAAAACCTACAGTGATGCGAGCCAAGCCCAAAAGCCTAAAATCCTCAAGCCGAACTCAAAAGCCTGGTTTTCGGCGCAGGCAGCACGGGCTCCGTTGCGCGGGTGTGCTTTCCTGCCCCCCCCCCCCCAACCCCCCCCCCCCCGAAGTAAGAAAGAGACGGTCCGGCGAATCGTCGCAAGCGAGTCAGGTGATGTGGCGGGCAAAATGACGGCAACACGCATGTCATCACTCCAAAAACCTCCCTTTGATGGTCGCGTGGCGCGAATGTTGTCGCAAGTGAGTCAGGTGGATGCGCGAAACCTGTGCGCGAGCACACTTCTGGAAAGTGCGTAGTCGCAAGTGAGTCAGGGTTAAGTCGCGAGCGTGAGTCAAATTAGGTGAATTCGTAAGTGAGTAAAAACTTGTGTCGCAAGTGAGTGCTTCCCCCCTGGTTTGGCACCAAGGTCCATTTCCTGAGTGTCACACAAGCAATCTCCCGCAGAATGTGACGGAATGATTGATATCACAAAATAAAAGGCAAAAACAATTACCTCCTATTTTCTCACTAAGATGACTCCACCCCCATGCAACCCTGGGTCCTTGCAGGTGGAACCCTCTTGGACACAGGCGTAGGAAGCTCATGACACACCATCCGCAGTAGCCTGATGACCCGGTAGGTCGGATGACGCCCACGCCACCGCGCCGGCACCTTAGGTCTGGCAGATTCCCAGACCAGCGGACCAGTGCGGCTCCGCTCCTGTTCTCAGCTCACTCCCTGAGGTTGGAAGGTCAGGCTAGTGGTAAACACAAGGTGTTGTTTTTTTGTTTTTGCCAATCCACTCAGGAAGTGAGTCAACCTATGTCTTTGCAGGTTGTTTCCCTTGAAAGTTTGTTGCAAACAACAAAAGGGCTGAAGTTAAAGCGAACCAACCACATCCAACCATTCAAAAGCGCCCACCCAGGTTTGTTTTTGTAAGTCAGGTTTCTCTTGTTCACCTTTGTGTCTTTTTGAGGTGGGGTATCCACCGTAGCTGCACACGTCCTTTCGGTTGTCTGATCAAGAGCCCCAGTTTGCACCTAGGTGTGCTGAAATCGCTGCGATCCGAGCTTCCAAGCAACGCATCGAGGACCGATGCCGCACTTGATTAGCTCTCCCCGCCGCTGTATCATGACACTTTCTCACTCGTGGCAAACATCAAGTTTGCAAACCGTTCGTTGGCAATTTTCCCGGGAAGCTTTCGGACCATGGGAGTTCCTCTTGCCAAAGCCGGCTATGTATATATATATATATAGAATAATACATATAGATGTGTGTGTGTGTTTCATTTTTGTTTCTGTTCTCAAAGAAGCTGACTGATTAATTCCTGTCGGGAACGCAACAGAAGCGACCTCAGGAGGCGGAGAAGAGGGCGGAGCACAAGCTCCATACTGCCTCCAGCAAGGTGCAGGCGTGCTCAAACGGAGGGGGCGTACAGTAGGACCTCAATAGAGGTACGTACATTAGAGTGTGTTGCATTGCATTGCATACAGTACATACAAACATACAAACATGCATGCATACATACATGCATGCATGGAGACATACGTACAACCACATATACATAAATACATACATACATGCATACACACATACATACATACATACATACATACATACATACATACATACATACATACATACATACATACACACACACACATACATACATACATACATACATACAGACAGACAGACAGACAGACAGACAGACAGACAGACAGACAGACAGACAGACAGACAGACAGACAGACAGACAGACAGACAGACAGACAGACAGACAGACAGACAGACAGACAGACAGACACAGACATGCATGCATGCATGCATACATACATCCATACATTACATTTACATTGCATACCATTACATACCATACATACATACACACATACACACATACACACATACACACATACACACATACACACATACATACACACACACATACACACATACACGCATTCACGCATACACGCATGCACACATACATACACACACACATACACACATACACGCATTCACGCATACACGCATGCACACATACATACATACACGCATTTACACATACACATGTACATACACACATACACACATACATACACACATACACCATACACACATACATACACACATACACACATACACGCATACATACATACATACATGCATACATATATACATACATACATACATACATACATACATACATACATACATACATACATACATACATACATACATACATACATACATACATACATACATATACATGCATGCATGCATGCATGCATACATACATACATACATAGATACATACATACATACATACATACATACATACATACATACATACATACATACATACGCAACATATATGTACAGTTCATACATGTATGAAATGTGTGCATGCAGAGACATGTGATCATGGATGTGACTATGATCTTCACATAATCATAAAGGCTGGAAGATGTCTGCATATACACCGTAGACGACACTTGATGTACCCGAGCTTTCTGTCACCTCTCGAAGGGTTTTACTTGGCGACCCACTCCCCTAGGACGCAGCTCTTGTTTGGTGAGGCGTCCAACTAATCTGATTTGCCCAGAACATTTGAAGTGAATAGCGAATGGTTCGCACAATTTCCCGGACCAAAGAGATTCCCGGGTTTGGACACATCCGTTGAGCAAAAGGAAGGCAATGTGCCACTGCTCTAAATCAATCTCGGACCTATTTTGCTGATGCGCGAAGAAGTTTAGGAGCAAATCTTTGACCACATGTTGTGCTCAGCTGTTCCAGTGTTTGTTTTCTGTTTTTGGTGATCTGGACGTTTTGTCAAGTGTATCCTTTGCAGGCTAATTTGGGCGTCACAAGTTTCAAGACAATCAGTTCAAGTCTTGTATTGTATGTAGTTTCAACCTGTTTTTGAATGTGACTTGAACCGTACTGTTATCCTTTTCGTCGGCAGGTGGCTCTAAACGACCTAAACGACCCATTTACATCGTGGGAGTATATCTGTTGAGTGAGAAAGGGACGGACCACTGCATTTTCCCGTGCCAAATTAGTAGGGACACCCATTTATAGAGGACTTTCCTTGCGGGACCCCATCACACTGAAGGGGGGAAGCCACGCTTTTCCTTGAAAGGCTTCGGGAGGTTCATTTGGTGTGCTTCGGGGAATTCCCATTGCCAGACTTTGCCCTTTTGGGTATTCTTCATTTTCCCCCTCTAACCAACAAACGGCCCCGGCTGTTGGCAGGACACTGGTTCAAATGGCAACCAAAAGGTGAGATTCTCGTTTTACCCAACACGTTGGAGTTCTGTCTGTGTCCACGTAATGGGGCAAAACATCAGCAGGTTTTCGGGAACATGGGCTCTGGGCCATTTTCTGTATCCCCTAGTGAACAAGAAGTGATGGGAGCCCCATGGTCTCAGGAAACCCCCAACATGGTGGTGTTCCCTGGATTTTGCAAAACGCCACCCTTGTGTTTTTACCACGAGTCGGCCGGCTTGAGGCCCATGCCCGCGGCAAGCAGGTCCGACAGCAGTGGGGGGCCCAAAGACGACCCGATGGCGTGCAGGGAGGGGGTTCCCTTTTGATATCAAGTAGCAACACCACGTACCTCATGATTTTTCCTCATGGCCACTGGATGAGTGCCAGTATCAAAACGTGGGCATGGGTTGCTTAGGGACCTTAGTGCAATTTGGAAGTAAGCAGGGCTCCCCGGGTCCGGCCGATTTCGACGCATGGTTTCTTGTGGATAATTTCTCGGGAACCACCTTGCGGAACCCGCTCCCTTATCGGCGCGCCATATGAGTTGGGCGGCATCCGTGTATGATTTTCTTGGGACACGGAGCTCTACATTTCCCGACCAGTGGATGCACCCCCAATGAACATCAGATAATTAACATGTTATGAATGTGGGGATAGGCAAGCAAAGGGAAGACATTTCCCTGGCTTACTTGACATATATTTGGAGAACCCGGCGTCATATTGCAGATTATGTGATTTGTGCTACTGTATTATGGTTACAAAGGAACTTGTTCGGGTTCGCTTTGGCACATCGAAAGTGTCATTCCCAAAAAAAAACATGTGCGACCCCTAGGTAGGTAATACGTGCAAGCCTCCATAAGGGGCTTGCCTCCACACCATATGGGTTAGAGGACACCATTTTGGCATGCCCCTGTGTCACACATCCCAAGATCCCACGGAACCCCGGTTTTGGTTGAAACCGTTGCCCAGGAAGGCGAAACTGGAGAAAGGCGCTGTGGTCTTGCAGCGGGGCCTGCGGCGCTTGCGCCAGCGCTGGCTCCTGTTCAGCAAGGGAGGGTTTTGAGAGGATGTGGGTTCTCAAAGGGGCCCCAGAATGGTAGGGCTCAAAAACATACACTCCCTTTATCTTTTGCACTCCCTTTAGCATGAAGGAATTGAGCCATCAACCAAGACCTCGGGTGGTGGCCTTGTTCTTCACCACCAGGCACCAACAAAAGGGTGCCCTTTGTCCTTGGGGCTTCTGGGCAAATATAAGGGATCCCCGAAGTGTAGAACTCCACCGCAAGTGGATGGTACGCTTGTCTTAAAATAGGGACCATAGACAATTGGCAGAGGTCTCTGGTTGGAATCCCTTTAAAAACTCTAAAAAGGGTTCCCACCCACTGATAAATTGGCACCTCGGGGTGCCAAGAGGATCGATTTCAAGGGCCCATGGTGCTCAGGTGCCCTGGCAACATGGGAGGGAGGGCATATGTTGTGTTGTTGTTTCCCCAGATTTATGACGGTGATGCTGTGGATAGTGACAATCGTCGCATCATAACGTTTGTAGTAAGAACAATGCCACCAATAACATTGATAAGGATGAAAACGACAGCATTGTCAGAGTTAATCTCACGTCACGGCAACCCTGCCAAATAACACGACCCGATCAACCGGTTTGGAAGCGGCCCCGATTCCCCAATAGAGGGCCAAATCACCGCAATAGACTTTATATAGTGTCTGTAATTGTCAAAATAGGGGAACCCCACACCAGTCGCCCCCACACCTCCTTTTTCCCGTGTCCAAAATTGCAAGTACTCCCCAAAAAGAAAGGAGTTGGGGGATGCTGGCACTAGTACCCTTCAAACAAATCACTACATCCATGATGTTCTTTTTTTCCAGTGGAACCCGGTACCCTGAAACCAAAACCACTAGACCCCGGATGTTTGTTTTCTCGGAATCCCAAGGCAGCAGGGCAAGACCCTGGACTTCGCCGCCGCGGTGCGCGCCGTCTCCGGGCGCCGCAAGGAGGGGAGAAGCCGACGCGGCAACGGCGAGGGAGTGGATGGGAAGCGGGGACCTGTGACCGGCCATTTGCGTTTAAAGTAAGTCCGAAGTGGGTTTATATGTGTATATATATATAATTATACACTATGCGTACATATTTATGTATATATATATATGCTTGCTTGTGACAGTATGCATCATGCCTACGGTATATAGTGGACACGTGAATTAAGATGCTTGTTCGACATTGAATTGGATAGTTGAGGGGTCAAGGTATCAGAAGGGGATGGCCGGTATCCGCGCCAATTTGCGTCAAGAGCACTTTTGCTCACGAACCGTCATCTACCGGAAACAGTTTTCAGAAAGTGGCTCTATCTCTGAAACAAATGTATGCGTGTGTGTGTGTGTGTGTCAAAAGAGGGGAGTTCCAATCCCTTCAAAAGAAGGGCGCCCTCAGAAAGACACAAACCCAAATGGGTTCATGACTGAAAGCCTGACCCCTCCAATGCAGACCCGTGGACCCACTGATATAGAACCCTGACCCCTCAAAACCCCCCTGAAAACAAACCTTTGTCAGGACTTGGCCGCAATGTCGAAACCCAGGGTGGGTATGCCTATCTCTGCATAACACGAAGCGGGAAGCAAATCCCAAGCAAGAAAGCTTCATTCTGGGTGAGCTGGCTTTTAATCGCGAATCTGTGAGCTTGCACAATATAGATCCCCCCCCTGTGCGAACATGTTCATTGAGGGTATATCTGAGATTATTTGAGCCACGGTTTGGTGTTTGGCCCAAACAGTTTCAAGACCGGCATATTTTCGATGTTTTTTGGGACTAGACTTGTTTTATACCCTTGTCTTCACATAGCTACGTACCCATAGTTGAGGAGAACGGCCCTTTGCTTTTCGATATGTTTCAGGGCCAAAGGAGACTCAAGGTGAGGTCCGTTGAACCCCGCGACATGGGTTTTTTGGTTCTTGACGGTCTGGCCCAAACTTCCCATCTTTTTCATGTTTCACTTTGACCTCAAACAATGAGGGCACCCCATGGGTCCATGGCTCAACCTCCGATGCTGCTTTTTTGAATCCATGCCAACACCTGGCCACCGGGTCGTCATTGGGCCCCGTCAGAGCGGTCCGCCAGGACTGGGCGCTGGAATTCCAGGCCTGTGCCGGGCCGAAGGGCTTGGATGCCAGCGGCTTCGCCAGGGCCTCGATCGGAAGGGACGGATGCGGCGGATTCCCGGGGAAGCTATGCGCTTTTTTGACCCAGGGAGACTGCTCCAAAAAGTATGAATGGTTGACAACTTGTTTGAGTCCCAGGGTTGGCCCTGCCGGGCATGCCTTGTTTTGGGGGAAAGACCCAAGTTGGCATCAATCCTACCTTAATCCAGCTCGGGCAGAGACGCCTGGAAAACCTAAAGGAAGCCACGTGACCCAACTCCCTTGGTGCAAGAATTCCCTGGTCAATTCCCTTTTTCAGCCGTGATCACTGAACAGCTGGGTAGGAAATAGCTGGGTAGTGAAACTCGTCAGCCTCTTTTACACAACCTTCCAGTTGTTCAGCATGTGTTTCCTTTTTGTTTACGGGGTTCCCTTCTAGAAACGGTCCAGGTGCCAAAAAGGGCGGCTTCCATTCCCATGACCAGAGTTGACCATGGTACGAGGATTTGTGGCGAGCTCTAGGAGAAAGTCGAGCAGCTGGATGCGCACAGGAAGCACAGGAAGGGCTTTGCGTAGCCTCTCGACCTCTCCATTGCATGGCCTGAATGGTTTCCCGCTCCGCTGTTGGGTCCATTGAGTCAGCTATTTCAACGGCCCGGGCGTCTGGCATGCAAGTGATTGTAGGTCTCTCGTTTGGGCGTCGTTCTGAACGTGGGGGAACTCAGGCCTCCAGCCACGGCTTTGCAATTGCCGCTCTGCGCCTGTTACTGCCCAAGCAAGTGACCTATTCGGCTCATCTGGCGATCTAGTACCGATCACAAACTGTATCAACGATGTAACCAGTGCCACGGATTATTCCCTCCCAAGCTGAGCGTGCATCTGCGCACGTGAAACGTGGCCGTTGTCACAACAGTCCTCAAGTCCCGCAGGTCTTGGGTGAATTCCTACAGGCCTCCAGTAATATTTGCCTCATGTAGCACATAGCAGCCAACTATGGGTAGTTTCGACCCCGGGTTTCTCAACCTGAAGGATTAGTGCCGCAAAAAGCGAATGGTTCCCTCTTAACATACGACACCCCTCTCTCAATCAACCGCGGGTTGAGTGTATAACCCTTTCCTATTGAGCAATTGTTCTATTGAACAAACCTGAATCACTCCCCAGTATGGCACAAGGAATCATTTCCGCAGAAGTCTCCTATTGTGCCCCGGACCCCCTTGTTGGAGGAATGCAAATGGGCCGAGGACCCTTCAAAGTTCCTTGAACAACTGTCATGCCAAGTCCCTGAGTGCGAAAGTGAGCCAGTGCCAAAGCTCTGAGGCCAAGGCCCTGGGCAAGGTTTACAACCAGCTGTCGCGGCTGCAGGCATCCGCTTGCTGAATTACACACCTGGAAGTCGAACACTGGGTTCTCGCTTCCTGGGAAATCCCCTTCACAATGACGAAGTGCTCTTTAAGCAAGTAGACACAAGGATTGACCCATGATTACACATCATTATCCTATGGTCAGGATTCAAGTAGACTTTTCAGCACATTGCCATTCTAACTGTTTGGGCCCAATTTCCAGAAAGAAGGAGGCCAGGCAAAACAGATCTTAAGTGTCCGCCATATCCAGGTGGGTGGGTGGCAATACGTCTTTTCGCAGAATGAAGAAATGGTGTAGTTGATTTGTTGGATGTGTGAAATCAAAAGGTATACAATTGATCCGAAGCTGTGATCTGTAAGAGGCTTGTCCCTACAGGGCTACAGTTTTGGCAAAGCGGAAGCGCTACGAGCTTGCAAATGACCCCCGCCCACTCCATTTCGGAGTGCAATAGCACCGCCGCTGCGCCTTTGGGCACAGCAGCTGGTGAACAAAGAGATGTTTTTTCCTTGGAAGGAGCGTTTTACGGTCTGTGCATGTGTGTATGCTTCAATTATCAGCGAAGCCCCTCATTAATTGGGCTTGGTGTCTTTTGACACCTCCAGCCTAAAAACATACCCCCAACTTCACAAGCAACCGTCTTCCCATCATGCGGTCACAAGTAGCGGTCGGATTCCCGCCGAGAAAGAATGAGAGTCATCGAGTCATCCATCTCGTCTGGCTAAGTTGGAAAAAATCAGAAACCGAAACAGGACATCGATTCGAGGAAAGGAACCTTGATGCTGGGTGAGATGGCACACAGCAATTCTCGGTCTGTGAGATCGTTGTCATCGCATCCCTTCGCGACACATTTAGGTTGAGTCTTGAAAAAGGTCACACATGTGCAGCTTCAGATTCATCTACTTCCCCTTGCCACAGTTGCTTATGTTGGGCTTGTCTCCCACAAAATGTGTGATTTTCCTGGTAAGCAACCCGGACAGCGCACCTTTAGATTTAGAGGACGCACCCATATGTATGAATAAAACATGAAAGGCTTTTGAAGCGCCCTTTCATTCTGTAGGGGCGCCGCACATAAAGCCCAGGTGTCCCTTTTGTGAGGAGAACTGATTTGTGCTGATCACAGATAGCTCACCCACACTGAAGTTGCTTACTTAGCATTCACGCATTGAGGTTGGTAAGCATCATCTCAAGTAGAGTGTTGACTCATGCAAACTCCGGGCCCTCCCCTGAAGCCGGGTACTGACTTTTCAGAGATATTTATTTGTCAATTCAACGGACAAGTGTTTCAGGGTTCCATCTTAAGGTTAGAGGCCCACCTAGTTCGCAGCCATTTTTGAAACGACCGCGCGATCAAACAATACCCTCCCACTAACATGTAGGGGCATTCCTTCAGGTTCCAGACGTGAGTTTGTCAAACAAATGAGGGCGCCCAACATGAGTTGGTTTCCTTTTGCTTCCCGTTAAACAGCCCAGACACGGCTACCCTCAAGAAAGACACCCCCATAGGTCGCCGATTGATGCGAATCCGATAGGTGGGCAAGCTGTGGAAAGGCTTCATTGAACAGAGCGAGAACTGCAACGGCATCATGCACCGCGGCAGAGGGGCTCTAGTTGAGCAGCGCCGAAAACCGGTTCCTATTGGCAATTTTCGTGTGTGTGTGTGTTTTCTGTTCAAGTTGTTGTGTTCGTTTTGGCCAGGAAAATGGGTCCAGCTCCATGGGGCTACAGTAAGGCGAGTCTTACTCGTTCCCTCCTGCCTGGGAAGAGGCTTGTGATATGGGGGAACGCTTGAGGCGCGCTTGCGCATGGAGCCTCTGTCTGGCAACTACCAAAAATTATGTTGTTTGCCCAAATTCAGGACCCAATTTGCCGAGAGGCAGAAGGAGACTAGCTTATGGTAAATTTAAACATAATCTGCATTTGCCAAACAATTGTAGGATTCTGTTTGAAAGATTCTGAATGGTTCCTCCGCAAGTGTGGGACTCCTTTTGGTGGTATTCCAAGACTTGTAAGACCCTTGCGGGGTGCGACACATTTCACAGGCTCCTCACCAGTGATTCTGGAGTCTTGTGCGGACACCACATCTTGAAAGGATCATGGAGACAGGTAGGCAAACAGGCACAACCACCTAAAAAGCAACGAGTCTGAAACCGAATTGCCACTTGGAAAACAGGATCAGGTTCAGTTGGTGTCCCAGAGATCTATGTTAGATTTTGTTGGAAGCCGTCGGGACGGATTTTGCCAGCTGTGGCCATGGGGCGGGCCTGTGCGCCCTGGCGGGCCCGCCACGGGCCCGTGGCGGGCCGTGGTGGGTAGGGCCGTGGCGGGCAGGTGACGGGCAAGGCGCACAAGAGCACAAGAGGAGAGCTTGAAGCCCAAAAACGTTTGACAACTTAGCATTGTTTCAGAAGAATATCAGGTTCACATGGAAGATGCGTACTCTTAGGACAGTAGCGGATGTCTGGACCTAGCCATGGAAATCGCAGTTGCTGCCACCGTGTGCTTGGTTGCGGCAAGCTTCGCCAGGTGTCGTGTGTTGAGGCGAGCTCCTTGACACCAGCTGGTTGGAAGCAGGTCCACGCAGGGCAAAGAGGTGTAGGAGTTCTGAGTCTTCTTTACAAGGCACCAGTCGCAACCGCAACCATGCGCGAAACAACTTCACGCGAGCTTTGCCGGGCACCCGGTGAGCCGCGTCCTGCGCGATAGCCTTGATAGCCTTGCCTTCCGCTCCAACGCTTCTCCAGTTGAAGAAGCAAGTGGAACCTCGAGACAGGGTAGACACCGGGATAACTTCACAACGCGTTAACAACAAAGTGGGCAAAATCAAATCTCTCGAAAGGCACCCACTGACGGCAAGATCCTGTGGCTCATTTGTCGAGCGTGCAGAAGGAATCATTCCATGGACAGACAAATGGTTGTTGTGCAAGGCCTGCCCATGTGGGCTTGCCACGGTTTACCTGCACAGTCCCTTTGGCAGCTTAATTCACATGTTAGCCCTGACGGCGCGGATTGCGGTTTCCACTGCTTGCCCTCTTCGCAGGGCCCCTGAGAGAAGCTCTCGGCGCATCATAGCCTTGCTCCCAGAAAAAATTGACCGGTTTGGCCTGAGGATCGAGCCAGCCTGCCATACCTCCTGACCAAGTCCCAGAAGCGACATCTCTCGATGTACGCGGGCTTGTGGCGCGGCTTGCCAGCCAAGCGCGACCCGGATGGCATTTTTGATCTCATGCCATGTGCCTCAGCGCGACGGGGAGAAATCCAAACCATCTGTCATCGGGGTTGGTTGATTTGCGATTGGTCACGCGCAGAGGTGCGGGGGAGGGGGGAGATGGTCAAGCGTTTCGGGCTGGGCCAGTCGGCAATGGCTGTGGGAGGTGCCTGCTGCCAACACACTTGGACACGGGCAGCCGGCAAGCGAGCCATATTTCACTGATGAAGCGAGCCATATTTCACCGATGAGTCTGCCAAGGCACGACTGAGTGACGACTGCGCCGCGCAGGCCTTGCAGGGAAGTCGGGTGGCTGTGGCCATCCAAACTTTTCAGGCCCTGCCTTGCAGTCTTGGCTGAGAGCGAGCTCAGTCACGGCCATCTGGGCACTCACCAAAGAGTTCGCGCGCTCTTGACCCAGACTGCGCAGTTGAAGCCTGCGCATGCCGTCATCGCTGGCAAGAGGTGGACCTTGCGAAGTGGAGGCTGCTGTAAAGAGAACACACCAGATCTCTTTGGGCGCAGACGTTCGCAGTGGTGATTTATGTGCTTTTTGCGCGGCCACCTGCATGGGCCAAGAACACCTGAACCCAGCGCAGCTCGCAGGGTTGCTGTCCTGGTCCGTCTTGTCTTCTTCATTTTTTGCTCAAACTTTGGCCTGTCACAGCTGTCCTGGCCCGGCCACTGGCGGGAGCCTCAGGCTTCGTCCTGTCACAGCTGTCCTGGTCTGGCCATCTCAGACTTCAGATTGTCACAGCTGTCAGTTCCTGTTTGCCAGCAGTCTGTCACAGGCTCTGTCACATTAAGCAGTTGAAAAAGTTCGGCCAATAGGTGGGCGGCAAACTCGATGTGACAATCCCCAACCAGTTGGGCAGGCAAAGCCCTCTTTTCCCAAGATTGAGTTTATTGGAAGGCCTGGAGTTGCTCCTGAGACGCCGCTTTCCATTTATTTTATAGGAAAAATTGGACCTCCCCCGAACCTCCTTTTCAAGCCTAGAGAAGGTATTGTCAAGCACGAAACCAACCACCAACTAACTAGCAGAAACGAATAGACGGTGCTGGAAAGAACATTCTCACAGAGGGGTCCCTCCACAGCGTCCCCGACCCCAAGGCACTTGCCGACCTTCTGGGCCATTTGTGAGGCCGCCGAAGCGAAACGGGGGCGGGCCAGGATGGTTGGGGCCAGTGCAGTTGGTTTAGGTCAGGGCTGGTTTAGGCTCAGTTTGGACCAAGTTGGTTTTGGTTCGGTTTACTTGCGGCCTAGGCGTCTCTACACACGTTTCTCCATCTGAAAAGTGCTCAATCCAAGCCACTCCGTTTTACCCTCGAAATGCGTCTAGTGTTGTCACACTTTTCTTACGCGGATACCTCCTTTGTCAATCTCAAGGGCGAGCTTCCTTTTGGAGGGGTGATGGATCGAAAGGAAACCTCTGAGAACCCTCTCACATGTTGACCCTGCAAAACGGGGCGAATCATGCCCCCCAAAGGAAAATGATCAAATTTGTCAGGCTACCTCGGTGTGTCTCCAATTTGTTTACCTTTCGCTTCCCTATCACCAACCCCAGAAAGGGTACCAATCAAATATTTGCATACGGACACTTTAAACAGCACAGGGTTCGCCTTTCCTCTTATAGAGGATCTGGAGCGAATTAAAGGGACCGTTGTTTTTTGCTCAGGGCGCCGAAAGGCAAAGCCCATAGCATGGCAATCGGCGGCATCCGCCCAATTCCAATCACAAATTCATTGAAGACAAACCTAAACTTGTCACAAGGGCTGCATATAGTAGGTTTCGGCAGTTTGTGCACAATTCCTTTCTTCCGCAGCCCGAACCGTTCAGTTGTCGAAACAGCCCGAACCGCTCAGTTGTCGAAACGCTATGCAAGACTCATCCGCGTTGGACAGAAAGATCGATTGAAACATTGCAAGCGCGCCACGAGCTTCTGAACAACTATTACTGGGAGTTCAGCATTTGAATCTTTGGCTGATCAATAGGGGTCCTACTGTGGATGAAACAATTTCCGCACCAGTTGGTAGGTGGTGTTGACGCTTGAATACCGAAAACCAGGTTTTTTTATTTGAATATTGATCAGGGGCATTTTAGACATAGTCCTTCACTTCAGGGCCAATCCATGAAAGATTGACGGCTTCCCGTGTCAGGCGGTCGCGCAGGGCGACGCAGCGGCGGCGGAGTTTGCGGATATGTCGATAGAGGAGCGGTTATTTCACAAGTTTGGGGCAGTGTCCGTTTTCCATTGGGTGTTCCGGTTTTTCAACATCTAGACGAGGAATGACGAGGACTGGTGAAGCCGTGTTTTGTTGGTTGCCCTGCTGTTGGTTCCCCTTTGACAGCAATTAGACAGTGCTTTCGAGCGACAAGATGGATGGTCTCAAGATTGAGGACCCCCCGCCCACAAAAGAAAACACTGGTGAGTTTCCTTTTGGGTCCCTTCAGAAAATGACTCTCAATCGGGAACACAAAGGAGGCGGTCCAAACAAGTGCCATCGCCCAAGGTTTACTCGCTAGCAAATCGACTGGATTTGACCTTTGGTTTTCCCACATGGGGACTTGGTTTACAGTAGCTCACTCCAAAACGAATTCTCCTTTGCATCTTTTGGCATCGAGTTTGGTCAGATTTGCGAAGAAGACTTTTCCGATCCTTAGGCCGGTCCTGGTCCTCGCATAGGAGAGGAAACCCGCAGTAGCTCTGTGACCAAGACCAAACATGCAATTGTTCGACTGACCCAAACTATGTTTGTTAAAAACAAACATACAAACACAAGTAATATCAGGGGCTGCACATTTTGCACTGATTGTGGCTGGAACCCAAGTCAAATGTCCAACATCTGGGATTGGATTAAAAGCCGGTTGGCTTTTGAACTGGGGTCAGCTGCCTTTCACATACTCCAGCACCTCCCCAGCAAGCTTCCCTTTTTAAGGGAAGCCAAAGGAGGTGTTTGAAGCAAAATATTTTGAAAGACCTTGAACACAGGGCCTCAAACCTGCTCACCTCCGGGAATGACTCTTGAAGCAGGTTCTATCATGTTCTGCACTCTTCCAAGGACCCTTTCGACGTTGCTGGCTCAAAACTGGCCGACAGTTGCTGCTCCAAGCTGGCGTTTTTGTTTGGCAAAGCTGTCCTTGTCACATGGAAGTGCATGGGACCCTTGTCCAAAAGGAAAGTAGTCTTCAGGTGTGTGCAGGAAACTACGTTTGGCAGAAGGGTACTGTTGAAGGACAAGTCATTTGCAATTGACACAGGCAGAGCCTTGCGGAGCTTATGAAAGGGTCAAGCCTTGCTAATGAGCTCATTGGTTTGAGTGTTTCTAGGGAGCAAAGAAAGTCAAAGTCGGAATCCGGGTTGGTTTCCCTGCCTGCCACTTGCGGGGTGACTTTGGTAAAGAAATCGGGCCAGGCGGGCGAGGCTAAAGAGGCCTTTGGGCCGGGGAAGGGGTCGAAGTCAGAGCCCAGGAGTATTTGGAAGGCCAAACTTCCGGCCAGAGCCCCAGCTGACGTCTCGGCTGAGCTCCATGCCATTGGGGTAAAGAGGTTGGTCCAGCACTGGTTGATAGGGACGGTCGCAATTTATTAGAAGCCTGGCTCACGGCTCGGCGTGTTGACACATGTGGCACATTCGCATGGTCGTCTAGACCTCCAGTGGTGCCCTATGCCCATCCAATTCCCTTCACAAATGAAGTCTAGATGGGGCTTCTTTCAGGAGAGCCAGGTTGCTGTTTTTTCGGGAAACCCAAGCCCAGAATCTGTTTTGGGCCTGAGGCGAGCACTACACTGAGGAGGAGGCCTCGGGTTCGGATGAAGGGCGAAATGGGCTTTCGTGTAAACATGTTTCGCCTAGATTGGTAAGGGATATAACAGGAAAACCTGTTGGGCTCCTATTTTGACACACACACCCGGGATTTGCGGACATTCTTACAAACAAGGGGGTCGTAATCCAGCTCTTCTAAATTGCCTTTTTCAGGCTTCTAAAGATCTTGCACTTTGAGTTTGCCTGGGGCCAAACCTAAGTTTATTCATGGGACTGGACAAGGGCCTTAAGAGGACGGCCGTCTTCCAGCCCACATCGGGTGCCCTCCCAGAGGGTCTTATGGAGGTCTTATATGGGAACGTCGCCGGTCAGATTTTTGTGCACTCAAAACGGGCCCACCTGAAAGTAGATGTTATTTCCCGGAAATGTGTGCTGTTCACCAACTCTAGCGCGTACCCAACTTGGTTGATGACTGAAGCAGACAACGTTTGGACATGCTTCGTGTTTGATTCCCTTTAGAGGATGTCACCGCACAAACCTGCATAGAAGCTAACTCTTTGGAAGATGGAATCTCACATGCCAGCTTCGCCGACACTCTGTCATGAAACAGCTTGGAACCGCAAGTTGCAAACACACAGCCTGCCACCATGTTCCAAACAACTTTCGCCGTTTCCGGATCTTTTGCCACCCATATCACCAATCCCCTTTTTTTTCTCCGGATGACTCTCGGGTTTCCGCATTCGAAGGCCCGAACTCGAAAGGTCCATGCAGCCCAGAGGATCCAAGCGGCGCAGAAGGGGCGGCAGGTGAGGGACCAGGCGGGGCCCGGGAAGGCGGAAGGCACCTGGATGAGGCGATGGGGTCCATGGGGTCTCCAAAACGACTTTAGATCTTGGGGTAGACTAGATTTATGTGGAGGGCCAAGAGGGAACTGGATCCTGAGTCAGTACTTTACGGGGTTCTGATTAGTGAGGCGAATAGATTTTGTTCACATGTTTTCACAAGCGGTTGGCCCAAGCCTGGCTGTGTTATCCGTATCCCGTATCCCCGATTAAATCGGTCATGCAATCACGGAGCCCCATATCAAGCACGTCCCATGGCTTCCCTTGGTGGAGTAAACCGAGCTTGAGGGAGGACAATTTCGGGTTCCATCTCGGGAATTCTCCCGCTTCCACGTCTGAATGTCCAATTGCATTTTTGGTGGGAGTCAGCACCGTTTTTGATGGACCGCCAGTAGGAGCCTAAAACCGGCTACGCGGGGTGACCTGAAATTGGAATTTCAGTTCAAATCGTCCGGATTTGGGCGCTACTCCCTAGGAGCTGCCAGCTTTGCTTTTGCTCAATCTTTTTGGCACTATACTATACCTGGGTCTCAGTCTTCAAATCTGCTTTTCTGAGATGAAGGCACGAGGGGCTGCTGCCCAAACCGTCTCTGTTGCTTCTCCTCCTTAAACCCCGCTTTCAGCGCCCGGTTGCTTCTCCTCCCCCCTTGCGACGTTGCGCCTAAGCATCGCCCTGTTGGCTGTGCAGTTCGCCCCCCTTGCTATGATTTTGGTGTTGAAGGGATTCGAAGGAATCCCTGACTTGCTAGAAACTGGATTTGAAGCCCCAAGTAGATCATTTGAACCCTAAAAGTGTCGACACCCTCTTTCAGACGGTTCCATCTTTGTAGATGAAACGGGGATGTTCCGTAAGGGAAGCTGATTTTTGACCCGGTTCCTTTGTCTTAACCACCAATGTGGGTTCATTGTGACCCTGTAGGGAACAACAAACCCCGTGAAAGGCTTTAACAGCGTCACGCTCTTGAAGCGAGTCCCTCTTCCCGGGCTTCAAAGGTTCTCACCTGGGTTTCCCTTCCACAGTTTTTAATTGTCTTCCCTTTTCAATGGTTGTTTGGGCCTGAGTTTCCCTTCCAAGCCCTCAAAGGACGTCCTTTTTTCCCCAGCGGGTGGGCACCCTGTTACCACTGTATCCGTCTCGCATCCCACAAGTGCCCAGTGCAAAGGCCAGCCAACAAGCTGCTGAGGAGGAGGCCGGTCCCGGCTGTTCGGTTGGCTTCGTTGGAGCATCTCTGGCAACAGACTTTGCAGCGACCTGTCCAATCCAGACTCCCGAGGCATCCGAGAGCTTCAAGGGAGACCAGTTTGGTCAGTGCAACGTTTTACCGTTCAAGGTGTCACATCATCTAGTGCTTTGGTCCAAGGGACGAGCTTCATTCCCCGGTTGCGCATTGGAGCCATGTTTGCCTTTTCGTTTGGTGGGTTCCCCATTCGAAATGATCAACCCCAAAATGGGTTTTTGCGACTGGAGTTTCCGTGTTCCGTGTGTCTCTCTTTCACTGTGAACCTTCGCATCCCACATGAAAAGTACCCAACTGGCGGATAAAAGGCAAACCACCCCCAAAGGTAAGGTACCCAGTTGAACCATTTGGTTTGGGGGACACCAGAAGGAGCGGGGCGAAGATGGGGATTTCTGGACCTCAAGCTTTTCGGTAAAATCATTTCCAAGGGACTGTTTCCGAACAGTCTCAGGAAGAGTCGACCTCTGCGAAAGGATATATCATGAGGACCGGCGATTCGATTCGCCAGGCGGCCCGGCGAATCCAAGCAGCGCACCAGGGCCGCATGGTGCGGGAGGCCAAGGCGTGGCGAAATCCAGGGCTGGAGTTCGATTGCAGGTCACAGGAAGTCAATTCAAGGTATTTGTCGAGATTTCTGTCGAGGTTTGGAGCAAGGGTACCAAACAGTTTGAAGCCTTGGACGGAGAAATTCAGCATTGCTGTGGATGGACCAACTGCACGCCGATCGGCACCTGTTGGGATTGGTGTTTTGTTTTTGTTCATCGTTGTATCTCGACTGGTTCTATTCACGTATGACCAAGACATCCTTGAGACCTTTTACCCTTTTGATCCATGTCTAGTCAAGGTCCCAAAAGGTTAACCCTTCATTTTCTATGCCATTTGGAGAAGTGACCAATGTGCCCCCCAAGGCCGGAAGTTGAGTTTTTGGGAAAGATGGAAGCCCCCATAGGGTTTCTTCCACAGCTTGTGGCCTTAAGCCTGTGGAGGAACGCAGAGAGTTGCCGGGGGGGGGGGGGGGGTTGGTTGGATCCTAGCGGCGAACCTCGCAGGCTGCGCCAAACAGCTGTGATGCAGAGCAGGCGGAGAACTTGTTCGGTGGCCGGTCAAACTTACTCTGCAAATTAACCTATACACGCCAAAAAGGGTCCAACTGGAGGCAGGGGGGGGGGTATGTGTCAAAAAAAGCAGAGCCCCAAAATTGTGGTTTTCCTTTGAGAAGGTTGCCCTTAAAAACAAACGACCAAATAGACTTGTTCTTGGGTTCCATGCAAATCTGGGAAATAGGGTGGAACCTTTTTGACCTCCAGTGCCCGTTCTTCGTCAGGTGTTTTTGGGGGTTGCCTGTTTTTGTTGAGGAAAAATCACTGTAGGTCCAAGTCATGAAGTCATGGACAAAAGGGCATGGCATGGGTCACACGCTCCAAATGATTATTGAATGGTGGAAACCGAAAGGACCCCTGGCCAAGGAAAGATTTGGAAGAAATTTATGTAGAGGAAATAAATGGCATAAGTCCTGAATGTTGGGCGTGCTTTCTAAACTTGATTAGGCACCCTCCCAACCATTCACGTGGAACCTACTAGATTGTTCCAACTTTCCGAACCACGGACCCCCAATCAGGTTCCATGTTAGACAGGAGTGAAAGTGTGTCTTTTCTTGAGACCACCTGTGTTTTGCGTGCAGGAAAGATATATGTGGTTGTCCACCCATTTTGCCGGTCCAATTCCTGCTTCTTAAGACACTCACACTTGCCCCTGAAAATACACAACCCAAACGAAACTGAAACTCCCCTTGAGGTGGCAACCTTCGTTTTCCAAGCACCGCATGGAAACATAGGGGCAGGGGCACATAGAGAACCCTGCGCAGGAGGCTGCGGTGCGGATCCAGGCGGCTCATCGGGGGCGTCAGGTGCGCCAAAGCCTCGCCACTCGGCGGCGTTTTTGGTCGAGAATGCGCGTTTCGGCGTGTCGTTTGATGGGGGATTTGGACCCCGAAACATGGATTTTGTGGGGTTGCCTGTTGGTTTCCCTTTGCCACAGCAAAAAAAGGCACCCTCAAAAATATGCAACGCGCATTTTCCTTAATGCAGACCCCGGATTAATAAACCCCCCCCCCTCCCCCCCCCCCCCTCAAGGTCACAAGGTCAGGTCTGTCATTTTTTTGAGGGCCCCCCCCCTAATAGTGGGAAGGGGAACCTTGTGGGAAGGTCAGGTCAAGGAACCTTGTGGGAAGGTCAGGTGAGGGAACCTTGTGGGAAGGTCAGGACCTTGTGGGAAGGTCAGGTGAGGGAACCTTGTGGGAAGGTCAGGACCTTGTGGGAAGGTCAGGTGGGGGTGCTGGCTTTACTAATGGGGGGGTGCTGCTGTTGCCAGGAAAAATCAGGAGCTGGTGTGCAAAAGCAGGGCATCAAACATGGTAGATTAATAGGGGGGTGCTGGCTTTACTAATGGGGGGGTGCAAAAGCAGGGCATCGACCATGGTAGATTAATAGGGGGGTGCTGGCTTTACTAATGGGGGGGTGCTGCTGTTGCAAGTAAAAAAGGAGCTGGTGTGCAAAAGCAGGGCATCAAACATGGTAGATTAATAGGGGGGTGCTGGCTTTACTAATGGGGGGGTGCAAAAGCAGGGCATCAAACATGGTAGATTAATTGGGGGGTGATGGCTTTACTAATGGGGGGGTGCTGCTGTTGCAAGTAAAAAAGGAGCTGGTGTGCAAAAGCAGGGCATCAAACATGGTAGATTAACAGGGGGGTGCTGGCTTTACTAATGGGGGGGTGCTGCTGTTGCATGTGCAAAAATTTGGGCAAGTTAAAATTAGATTAAAACCGCATGATGTAGCGGGGGGTTTGGGGGAGGGGAGCTTTAATAGGGGGGGGTTTCGGGGGAATTGTTTTGTTATTGTGGGGGTGCCAGGGCAGATTCCTGGGTTTCAATTAAAACGAGTATTGGCGAGGGATTTCAAGGAAAACCAGGCGCTTTAATAGGGGGGGGTTTGTTAATCCTGGGTCAGCATTACCTTCCGTAGTTTTAAAACAGGGTTTTCCTTCAACACCAACCAACAGGTCCGACCCCTCTAAAGGTGGTTTTCCCAAGCAAATTTGGAGACAAACTACCCTTTTCAAAGTTTCTCGAAATGGTTCTTCGGCCCATTGTGGTTGGTGGTTACAGGCAAACCGAGAGGAGTCCACCCGTTTTGGGGGACCACATTTTTTCAGAAACACACCCTTTTGTTGGACTTGTCGGTTGCCAATTTTATTTGTGATGAATTTGGAGTGATGTTTAAAGGAGTAATTATGCGAACCCTGTTGCCCGACTTATTGGTGAAAGTAGATGGTTGAATTCCCTCATGGTTAAGTCGCCCCCGGTGCCCACATAGAGGAAGTTATGCCAGGCCATGTGAGCGGCGTGTTTTTGGCCGTAAGCTAATTTAGTAGGGAGAGGGACATTATTATTGTACATGTGCACCGCGTCAAATGCGCGGAAGCATGCGGAAGGCTCCGCGGAAGGGATTCGTTCGCGGAAGGTTTGCGGAAGCTTTGTGGCTGATATGAAGTTAAATGTTTCAGTGCGTGCATGGAAAAGCCCGGAAAAACAATTTGCAGTAGAAGAAAAAAGGTGTTGCTGCGTACAAGAAACGCCAGGCTTACTCGAAGAGCAGTTGCCAACAGCAAGCCAAGAAAACCAAAACAGAAGGCGTATTTCGCGCAAGGTTTGCGGAAGCTTCGCGGAAGTTCCGCGGAAGGGTGGCCCCGTGTTTGCAGGCAAGTGGCCACGTAGCATGGGTGGTAGCCCCAAGCCCACACAGGCGAAGCGAAACACTATCTTACCCAAAATGACTTCCCTTTCTGCGCCAATACTCGCGGAATCAAGTCTTGTAAACCATGCGCTGCGGAAGGTTTGGGGAAGCAAGCACTGAAACACATGTGCCGCGGAAGTTCGCGGAAGGGACCTCTTGGCCCGGGGCAAGGATGCGGAAGGGTCCGCGGAAGCTTGAATAATGTCCCAGCAAGTTTGTAGGGAATAAAAACCAATGCTCATGTACTTTCACCCTAGTGCGCGTACATCCTTACTGCAAATGAAAGACACAACTATATAAGCTGCTACAGGCTATAGGGTTGGACATTGACCAAGCGCTTTTCCCCCCGAAATCATTTGGCTGAGAACTAACTTCAGATTGCCCTCCCATGAACTTGGAACCTGACCGGGGCAGGGATCCCCAAATGTGGGTTTCAGGCCCACTCGGAGTTCAGAGACAACCCCAAGCGACCGTTCGATCTGAAGCAGAACCTGCTCTCAGGCCAAGCCCATGCCAGCCCAGGCAGACGCGGAGGCCGGGGATGCAACGCCGCCTTACAGCAATTCAGGTGGCAGGCCTGTGTCAAAGCCAAAGCCGCAATGGTAGGAAACCATGGGTACCCACCATGTGGAACTCCCGGTTTTTGTGGTGGCTTGGGCTTTTCTCAGCAAAAGTGGGCTGTTTTGTTGGAGGTCAAAATTCAACTGACCTACCCCAGCCCCCCTTTTGCGAGTGAGCCAGGTCAAAAGCCCAAACACAAAGCAGAAAGCGGCAGCATCCCTGCTGAAAGCGGCGAAAGATGGGAGCCTGGCAAAGTCGCTGGACACCTTCGAGGATGCTCAGGTGTGAAGGGCAAAGGAGGGGTGGGAGGAGTGGCATGTGTAAGATTGTTTTGGACGAGGTGTGGCAATGACATTTTAATACCGGAACTGTCTCCAAAATGGTGGGGATGAATCCCAGCGTAAAAAATGATGTCCACCAAGGAACCCCCTGTTAACATTCACACCCATGTCCTCCCAGCTTATGCAAAACGCCCTAGATGGTCTATAATTCCAAACTGCTACCCCTAGGAACAAGTTGTATGCAACCACCATGCAGCCACGAAACGTACAAAACCCATTCCTCCCGCGGCGATACTTTTGGGTGACAAGAGTCAAAGACAATGGGCTGAAAGGGTTTTTGGCATTCTTTGAGTTGGGTTGCAGCCTGACAGCCCCGCTTTTTGTGGGAAAGCCATGCGTTCAAGCTTGGTCACTTGCACCCGTGCCGCCATCAATGCCCCTCCGCCCCATCCGCCGCCACTCGCCGCCTTCCCTCTCCTGCCCCTTTCGCCCCAAGATGCGCAAGGAGGTCCTGCCTACAAACAGCCCCCATCCTCCAAGTAATGTTTAGAAGGAGGGGGATTTGGGGGCGGTTCTGTTGGGGGTACGGAGGTGTTTGCAAAGTTATTGAGTCAACTGGCAAGGTCAATTGTTGACAAGTGATAGGTGTGGAATACGCGAGCCCTGTTTCTGCACCCTCAAACCGGTTTTTTGACCTTCATCTTGCCTGCTTTCGCCGGCACAAGCCGGCACGCAGTGTTTGAGAGCGCTCGTTGCTTGATGTGAGGCCGGCGGCAAGGCTGACGCAAAGCCGGCGCAGGCGCAGAGTGTTGCTTGCTAAGGGTCCAAGAAGCTTCTAAGGAGGCACTCGGACCCCTTTTTCATCTCTCAGAAACGATCCTCAAAGGGTGCTTTGGACCTTTGGGGCTTGCCAAACAGGATTGCTCGGATCCTTCATGTACATGGAGAGGTTATTGCTCAGTCCCAATCCACCCTGATGTAACTCAGGGTTGCGCGATTCGAGATATTCCTCAGTGATGACCAAACCACAAGGGTACAAACATGTTGAAGGGTTTGCTTTGGGTTTCCCTTTGTCCGCGCCTAAGTTTCTATCCTGGGTCTTTGGAGTGGCCATTGGCATGTAGCGCAGGCTCCTGCCCCTGCAGACCAAGCAGAACAGGCTCCGCTTGCAGATTGCTTTGGGGAAGGGAGCTGGTCAACATATGAGGTTGTCTTTCTTTTTTGCGATTTTGTGAAGGCACCATTTTTGGGGATGGTTGTACAAGGAAACCAGAGGAAGGCCACAGGTTCCGGGGGCTTCCGTTTTTTTGAGACAAACCCAAATATGTCATATTGCTTGTATAACTTGTGGGTGGATGGGGGCGGGTGGGACAAATCGCTCGTTGAGTTTTGGGTTTCAATTTGGGCCATTCGAATTTAGCATTGGGCCAGGGGTTTGGGAAGAACATTGTTTATGGTTTAGGGGGACCGAGCTTAAACGAGTATGGGTTTGTCTCAGCATGTTCACCCTTTAAATGTTCTCTCTTTTTGTACATCTTAGTACTGTATTTAAAGGAAAACCGACCATTTTAGGGGGCGCTTATTCTGATACAAATCCATGTGCGTGTGTTGTCGGGGACGCCGGATCTGAGGAGAAAGCGGCTACAAAGATCCAGGCGGTTCAGCGCGGGAAAGTCGCTCGCGCCGCTTGCGCCGCAGAAGAGCGAGCCAGGCGCGCGCTGCCGCGGACCCTGAGATCGGTGGATTGGGATGGAAGTTGGATAGGGAACCCCCCATTGGGGGCCCAGTTGCCCTTTTTTTCCTTGTTTTGGGAAGGGTTTCCATTGAAAGTCAACCAACCAAAAAAGAATCCTTGACGCCCGCTAAAACGCGATTTTACCGATACCGCAAGTACACATCCGATAAACATTTCTTGTGGCCCCGGCCGCCCTTTTAGGCGGGAACGTGACTGCCTGTTTTTGCTAGCGCATGCTGACCACATGCTCCTGCCAAATAGATTTAATTCATGCTTAGCCCTTCCCCTTAGTTGGACGGCCTGACTTTTGGCTTCGGTCAGGATGTGGGCTCCACTCACTCCAATTGGGGGGTGGGGTCTTGAGCAATGTGGCGGAACCAACCAAAAAAGGGTGCCCTTGCCCTTTTTTCCCCATGACCACTCGGCATCTGAGGGGGCGTGGTGGTGTCCAAAGCATCACTTGGTTCAGGATGGAGCCGACAATCATCTAGAACACCCCCTCCAAGCACAGCGCACAGTGGGACCTGCAAAGGGGTTGTCAAACAGAACAGTTTGAACATGTCTAAATTAAACTAGGGGTGGCCCGACCCTGACTGAGATGGCAACACCCTTCATGCAAATCATTTGTCCACATTTCAGTCCACTAAATTGAACATTCGTAGAACCCAGCAGCAGGCATTTCTGCAGGAATCCGGCCCAACACCCACCAAAATCAACTTGATTTCCAGTAGAAAAAGGGTGTCCCCCAGAAAAACCTCTTACAAAGCCCAAGACGTATCTACGGATCCTGCTGGAATGTGCATGCATTCCCCACTCCCTCCCCCAGGTTGGGAGGATTTCTATAGGTGTTTTTCTTGTGCCTGCCCCAAAGGTGCACAGGTTCTTTGGGAGGAAACCACCCGGCAACGGCCAGGGACCAAGCGGTGCGGAAGCTCCAGAAGGGCATGCGAAACTGGCAAGCGCGGAGGCGAGAGGATAGGGTCTGCGCTCATGCTGAAGTTTGGTTTGTCTGGATCGCCAGTTGCGGTTTTGCTCCGAGTGTGTAGGCAATTGGTTCTTTGTCTGGATCGCCGGTTGCTGTTTCCCCATTAACTGTGGCAGTTTTTGGGCAGAGTGTCTGGAGAAAAGCAGCAACGCTATCTCGGTGTGTCTTGGGTGGGAAGCCCTCAAGTGTGGTGTCCCTTTGGTTCTCTGTCAGAGTAAGCAGGTAGACTCGGACAAACACTGTCCTATTTGGGCATGGCTTAAACATAGGGCTCATTTTTGCAGAAAAAGACAACAATGTCGAGTGCAGTATCCCAGTTGTCTTGAATCTCTGTTGGGTTCCGCACAAATGGCCAACCCAAGCAGGGAATCGTCCCATGTGTCTGCCGGGGTCACTGAGGGGTTCCGTAGATTGCACTGGCCTGTCAACTGAGCTTCCGATAGGTGAGTTTTGGAGACGGACGGCGGGGGCGGGGGGAGGTCAGGCGAATTTGGTTGAAAATAGGCGGGTTCCATGGTTTTAGTCTTGGTTCAAAGTGAATTACCAGTGTTCAGTTTCAATACAAAAGGACACCTTGGTACATGGGATTAACGAAGGACTTTCAAAGTTCAGGCGATTCAAGGTTTACTGGCACTTGGCGAGCTCACCTTTTTTGGGGGGCAAACCGAGATCATGATGTCGGTCCTTTGCATGGCGACCTGATTCTTATGTCAGGTTTTGGGAACTATTGTAAAATAAATGGGGAAGTCTTCCACGAGAGAGATCCCAAATTCGCTCTCACAAGGGGATCCAGCTGGAAACTGCTCGTGCAAGTGTCGTGCCAGGCGCAGACTCTCAACACGTCTTTTTAGGGCTTGGCCCCAAACGATTCTCAATATGGGGTAGATTAGACATCCTGAATGCTCGGTCCCCAATCAAGGCGTGAAAGTCCAAAAAGCATGCATTCAACCTTCAAGAAGGTACCCTCAACAAACAAATTCAACTGCCATTGAAAGGCGCTTCTCCTTGTTTGGGAAGTCCATCATAGCGCATCCCCCATGCTACCATGGACAGTGTTTGATTTGTGAGTTGCTTTGGCTGGTGTGGCCCATTGTCGTCGCACAAAAAGGTTGCAGGGTTGCTGGAAGTCTTGGGAAGCGGAAAAAAACACACATGGCAGTCGGGATGGCGCTGGAATTGTGCTACCTGCTTTGACGCTGCTGGTGTATATTTCGAGGCTGACGAAATACTAAATATGAAGCAGAAGCCAAAGGACATATTTGGCTGTGGGTCAAAACCAATGGTACCATTTTGGGGTAGGTGCACCAACCCATTTTAGTCTATTTTAGTGGGGATTGGGATGTTCAGTGGGGGTGCGGGATTTTGATCCATGGCTATTTAGTGTGGTCCGAAATGGGGCCATTTGTTGAGGCGCACGGACACCCGTGACTGGCTTGGCCTTGCCCACATCATGCGCTCCAAGCACGCGGCCTTCGCCACGATTTTCGAGGAGGCAAGGCCTTGGCGCGGGGTCTGGTTCTTGGTGTACCCAACTTGGGGTCAAGTAAAGGGTCAAGTCAAATTTGACTTGCAACTGGCCAGGGAGGTGGGGCGTTGGGATGATAAAATGGGGAGCTGCAAAGCCCCAACTACCACATGACAGACAAGGAAAGACAGCTATCAACAAAAAACATGACCCCATGTTTTATCCCCAAAAAGGGTACCGAGCCTCAAAACACCACAGTCTCATTCGACCTGTTTGACTTCTCTTTCCGAATGAATGGTAGCATGGAAACAAATCTGCAATTGTATTGTATTAGTACCGGAATGACCTTTTCAGTCAAGGTCTCTGAGGTTTTCGAACCCCAATTCATGGGGGTGCCTGGATGCATAAATGCCCACAAAGTTGCTGCCTCTGGCCAGAGTGAGGTCAAGCTGGGCCTTTTGAGGGTGCCACACGGGTCGACTACCATTTGCTTTCTTGCTAGTTCCTCTCTTACGCAAAGAGAAACATGCAAAGTATGTCAGGGCTGTTGAGGCTAGGGCCCTATACCGTCCGTCTGGCTGAACCTGACTCTGCCCGTTGCGGTGTCAAGCTTGGACATCGGTGGGTTAGGTTTGGGGCGTTTCGGGGGTTCCTCTGAAGTGATATTTGGAAGCTGTGCAATACATCAAGTTGGATCCCAACAGCTCCATGGTTGAAGCTTTGACCGGTATGGATGTGTGTAGTGTGCCCTTGAGGTGCACACCTTCGGGAGGTTTTTAATAGTATGGCTTGTTGTTGGAAAGACTTATTTGAGGGTTCCCTAAATTTTGAGTTTTGTTGGGCCAAGTCAAGGAGAGTTTTTTTGGTGAGGTGATTCCTTGAGGGAAGCTACCTGGAGCCCAGTCTTTGAAACCATGCATATATGGCTTCAACGGCGCGAGTGTTTTGTGAGATTCCGCAGACTCAGATGAGACAGTGTCTGCACCAGTGGGATGGATAACCCACCTTCCAACTGGTGCAGGATAACATGGAACACGCGAAAGCAATCAACTCATTGAAACCCTTTTGGGAAAGGACCCCATTTTTCCATGCTGACTCATGCACAGACATCTCATAGTTTGATCATGAACTTTGCAACATCAGATACTGCAAGGTTGTACCTGATTGCCTTGCTTGAGGAATATTGCCACGTTTCAGGTAGGTGGGGGTGAAAGGACCTGAAACAACACTGAGTACCCCCAACCTCAAAAGCAACAATCGGCCCACACATTTCAATGCCTGGTCGTTGACAGCCAGTAAGCAGTCCCCTCCTCTTGACCTTGGCGAGCGCCCAGGAGCCACCCCTAACTTAAAAAAAAGAAAAAAGACAAAACAATACAAAACGCTCCCAGCAAGTAACTGTTGAATAGGAGTACCCCCCCAGCTTCCCACTGCAGTCCCTGTCAGCGAGTGCTCCGATGGCTCGCTTCGGTCAGGCAATGAAGACGCAGACCAACGGCCCAGGGCCTCGGAGACCAGGGGACAATATCCGGCTGGTGAGTGGAAGGGAAAAATTCGGAGCTGGTGAATTCCAGCAGGTTCTCAAAAGCAGTTTGTTTTTTGTTGGTGTTTGTTTTGTGTTTTTTTTGTTTTGTTTTTTTTTGGGGGGGACTATTTTGAGGGTAGCTTTGAGACTGTCGCTTTAACGGACCCAGAAATACGCTACACAAAATAAAAAGGGCACCCAAGTCTATTAGGGCTCGGTTCCATTTCTGTATAAGACACACCCGGCATGGGTGTTTTCAAAATTAGGGGACCACTAGAATGACACCGGTTCAAGGAAGCCTGTTTCAACATGATATCAGCAAGTGTTCACTGTCCTCCCTTCTGACTCGTCTTTTTGTTTGACATCACCCGAGCCTTTGGATTGTCAACAAGGCGTGCGTGTTTCACGGCCGGGGCAGCGGGGGAATGTTCTGTTTGTTGGAGAGGTTTGCCACCCCTTGCTGACTAACCTGGCGCCTGAAACGAGCATTTACAACTGCTTGTTCCCAGCATTGTTCCACCTTTTGCTGGTCTCAAGCGGTTTTGGGTAAGTGAAGCCAGTTTCAGGATTCAACTGGGCATCCGAATTTTAGGTTTGGGCAACCATTTGTTTGGCCACGTTTTAGCACCTCCTGACACAACACCCTCCTTTGGGCTTCGCTTCTGATCTTCAGCCCATTCGGCTCGGACGCATCGAGGACCAGAACTCCTGCATCCTGCCTTCGTGAATGCCATCATGCAGGCGATCGAATCCATTGCTGCCTTTCATTCACGGCTCGAAGCCTCTGGTTTGTTGTGACCCCGTGGGACCTTTCGCAAGCTCAGTCACTTTTGCTTTTTCGAGTTGATGCATAGAACAGGACATAGCAGCATATATGTGTTTGAATAGAGTAGACATGATGATGCCCTCCCACCTGGTCAGTTGCAGGGAACCTGACTGGGGTTGCTGCCGGTGGGATTCGGCCAATCCCTGGGCTTGGACCCTACTGGTTTTGGGCCGAAGTTGTTTGTGGTATCAGCGAAGTTTGCGACAAACATATGCACCCATCTTCCAGTTTTGGTTTATGGCGACGGGGTAAATCAGGCTTGGCTGCTTTAGTTGGGGATCTGAGTATTATTTCAGGCGTTGCGCGCGGAACATATCACAAAAGGAGCAAGTCAATCACAGGTCCTGTCTTGGCCACGTTCCTACACCACCTGCGCCGTCTCCGGACTTATGTGCCCATGAGCTCGGGATTGTTTGCATGGACTCAGCCATGTCACCATGCCGATGCTTCTCGGGCTGATTTTCCCACTGTTGCTTTTTCTAGGGATTGACTCAAAGCAAGTCCGCCGGAGTAGTGGCAGTTAGCCAACTGGCAGGTGTCCAACACCCTCGCCAATGTCGCCACTTGCTTCCTTTCCGCGGCGTCAGAGTTGTTCAAACATTATTCTTTGCCTGGGATTTTCGGGTTTTCTGAAAAACATGTTGGGGAAGAACAGGGACCCCCAGAGTTCAAGAGAGAAGTTGTCAATAGCAAACATCTTAGTTCTTCGAGCAGCGGAGTCCCTGTTCCGAAATCGCCCTGCTCCCCAATGTGGCAATGGATGCGCCAAATCCACACCTTGGGGAAAACCTGGCGGGGATTCCATGCATTCCATTGCAGCAGTTGTTGCTAACACCTACAAAACTAAAAGCAAGCAAGTTGGATGAATTGTTTGTCATAATAATAGTAATTAAAAACACACTTGTTTTGGTGTATTCTCAACTCATTACATGGTTGCTCTTAGCTAAAATGATGAAACAAACAAATTGATGTTGAATTCCCCCAAGGACACCAAAAAGGAATGGAAGAAATGTGTTGGGTTGTCCAATTGTTTGAAATCGCGCTTTGCGATTGCTTGCAGGTGTCTCCTGCCGTGTCCGGGAAGCAGGCCGGAGATTGATGGATGCCGGCTAGATATAAGCAACTAAGTGAATGTGGTGACACTTTGAGGTCTTCTCAAACAATTGCATTTGGGGGGAAGGAAGGTTTCCCTAGAAGAGGGTTTCGGAACCAAAGGGAAAATGTGATGTACAACCACTATATCACAATATAGACGGCACATATACATAGACGCAATTCTCCCTTGGTTTGGGGGCAGTGGAAGCCCTTTTTGACATTCTATACCCCCCTTTTCCTGGGACCGGGTTCCTTAAAGGATACATCCATTGCATCCGCCTTTACAAGGGTGCAGGGCCTCCAAATCAGCTGCCACCTTGGTGATAAACCAAAAAAACAAGGATCCTTGTTCATCAGCCAAAATGTACCTTACAAGAGTTTAGTCCTTTACATCAGCTTGAGTGATTTGTTCACTGGCCCCTCACTGGACCCATGCACTGGCTTCACTCGTGCAGGCGGAAGCGCTCTTTGAGGCAGTGTGCGAGGGCACGGGGCAGCCAGGCGCGGGGAAAACAGGCATGGCTGGGCAACGCTTGGCAGGGCCACCTCGGTACCAAGCGAATCCCCTCCAAAATGAGAATGCGATCTGGCACAACCATGAGGGCCTTTCTTTTCGAAGCAGAAAACGGGGCAGCTGGAGCCTGCAACAGCTCCCCTGGCACAGGGTTGCGTGTCTGTTACTAAAGTTCACACCCCAAACGCACGTCTTCCTGAGAAAGCTTCGATCCCTGCATCAAGAGCAGATGTTGAACCAACTACTTTCTTCCCACACCCAGCAAACAACTTGCAATGTTTCCTTTGTCCTTTTGGGGGAACAATTTATTGCTTTGATACCCTGGAAATAAGTGACCGACCCATTTGAACCCTTGTGGCCAAATGGCAGGCGTGGGCTTCCGGATCTTCTGCAACATGAGCCAGGCGGGCAACGAATGGGTGTCACGCGCCGGGGCGAAGTTGTTTTTCTGGAACAGGCCAGAACGGGGGGGGAAGGCTCCCGGAAAAAAAACTCAAAACCGTTTTGCGAATTGGTTGGTTGGCGAAATTTCCGGGTTGCCAGAGCAGACTCCAAATATCAACTCCGTTCGGGGTTGGGCCAAGGGCCAAGGGGAGGACTGAACATAATTGGGGACGCTTTGGTGTTGTGAACTCAACACCTGGTGAGCTGTTTTGTTGCCCATCGACTCAAGCAGGCCAGCTGTGGGCTTTGAGTTTGGGGACACATGCCACAGTCAAAAGACCCTTTTTGCCGACTTATTTTAGAAAGGATCATCCACCCGGTAGCCGGGGTCACAGCCGTGCAGCATATCCCCTCATTGTGCTTAGGTGCAAAAACAAAATCCGTACACAGTAGTTTTCCCAATGGAAACCAACAGGTGGCTTTTGCCTAGACCAGGAAAACCAACAGGGAAAACAACTGAACGAAGCAAACCAACAGGCAGACCCGTAGTTCGACACCCAGTTGTTGACATTACCAGCTGCTTGCCGATCTCCGCGTTTCTTCGGGTGACACTTCAAGGACCTGTAGCGGTAGCGCAATCCCAGAGCTCCGCACGCAAGCCTGGCAATGCTTGAGACTTAACGCCGAAAGTAGCAAATGCATAACACGCGTCAAAGGAACACTGCAAGGTTGCTTTCAGCAAGTGAAGGAATACCAATCATTTGCAAGTCAGAGCCGATCATGAACAGGCACGGATTCGTGTTTAACGCTCTTTTTTTTTGGACAAGCCCTTTATTGGAAGAATTTACGAACATGACTGCAAAGCATGGAATCCAAGTTCCCTTTTGGAACGTCAGCCGCACCCATTTTCCTGACTGCTATCAGGTTTAGGGTGTCCGTCTACATACTCGGTGCATGTCCAACACGGGTTTGGTTTTCCGGATATTGGGCCCCCAAACCCGCCCAAACCTGCAGATATAACTGTTGATCAGGATACATGACATGTCGATTGGGTGCCTCTAAAGAAGGAGTGGTTCTTTGGTCCTTTCTCTTTCGTGGAGGTGTTGTAGGGGGTTCTGTGTGAGCTGCCATGAAGACTTTGGTAGATGAAAGTTCCTAGGCTCAGCGGATGGTCCCAGCCGTTGATTCGTTAGGTCCTTGTTGTACTGGATACTAAATAACCTACAATTTTGACTTTGTCCAAAAGGAAGTCAAAGTGGGAGGCAGTTTCTTTTGATCCCTTACGTTGCACCCATACCCAGCTGCTGATTCTGACACTTTTGGCTCTCATGGCTATTGCTTCATTTGGGGCTCCAGGCTGTTCTGGAGGGAGATGCAGCAGCATCCGCCTTCGCGGACATGCACGTCCAGGACCGAAAGTCAAACTTTGAGCAAGGGATCAACGAAACAACGCATGTGAGCACTGACAGAAGGAGGAGGACACGGGCCCACCAAATAAGATCCGTTGCGCTTGAGCATAGATGGCTTAGAAGAAGGGCCGACATGATCCACAAAAGCAAACAAAAGAGCCAACAAACTTTCAAGCGCTTCTAGACACTGGAAAGTTGTTTCATGTTTCCCCTGTATCAAAAGTTCAAGATTTGCAACAGCGAGGAGTGATACAGCGAGCTTCTGGGATTGAACCCGACAGCTTTCAGAGCACATTCACATCCCCTGCCCTACATGGAACCTGAAGGAAGGCCCGTAAAGAATTCGCTTTCCGGGCACTTTGTTTCACTTTGGGGGGATCCAAAGGAAGGCCGCCATTTGGCATATACCCAATTGGATATGCGACTGATTGTCATCGAATGATTTTTTCAGAAGGACATTGACTATTAGCGGCTGAAGTTTTGCTGCGAGCGCCTTTTTTGGCGCTGCTTGAGATGGGAAACACAAATAAGACCCCCCTATGGGACTGGGGAGGCCTTCCGCGGTTCCCCGCATTTTTTTGGGGTTCCCCGCTGGAAGACAAACACATCTTGGGTGCTGGATGAGACCGAGGCAGAGCTGCTGCTAGACAAGTACGGATTGTAGGGCGGGTGACTCCCAAAAATGATGGTCTTCCTGCTTTCCTGTTGGTTTCCCTGTAGGCCATACTTGAACAGGGCACCGAGCCTCCACCAAACCCATGCATCCTCTCCAGCGCAAGGACTATTCGCGACTTCGGGACTGATTAGAGCCGGCGCCCGCAAGCAAGGCACATTTACTGATCAGACTGCTTCATACAGATCCACGCTGGGTGGAATGGGTTTGAGTTCCTTGATTCTTCAAGACCAAAACGGGGGGGCCAACTTTAGGCCCCCTCTCACCGCCACGGCTGTGACCACTGGTCGGCCATGTCTCACCTCGCCTTGGCTCAAAGCCAACGGCGCTGCCGCTCGCGCTTCGCTCTCTTGGCCCCAGCCGATGGGAGCGAAGTGCGATCGATGAAATCAGGGTCCTCGGACTCCACCCTGGTCCAGGAAAAGCGAAGCCCATTCATGCGCGAACATCTGCGAGTTGGCGAACGTTGTGTCCGAGGACCCTGTTAATGGACCTTAGTCTTCGCGCCCAGCGTCGGCTAGGTCGGCAGGCCAGGCGCTTGGCCTGACACGTGAGAGGTCACTGCCTTTTTGGGCGAGCTTATGTGGAGGTGAAACGAGCGAACACCCATACAGGTGCTTTACTTGGAGATGCTGGCTTCAGGTTTAAAAAGTATTGCAAGTGTTGCAGAGAAGTGGGTATGTTGTGCCTACCTTCCTGAAACTGCGATTATTGACACAGTAGATGATGAACATTTCGCTGTTTTTAATTGGGAGTCACCTTCAAAGTGGGTGGACGTGAGATCTTATGTCCACCAAGGGTCCCCTGCCAAGATTCACGCCCTTTCACTCAACCATTTCCAAATTGTTGACTGCGTAAATACTGGGGCTGTAAGCCCGAAATTTGGAGGCCAACTTGTTCCTTGGGTAGACTTTAAGCGGCTAACAACACCACAAACACAACTTTTATTTTGCACCCGAAGAATCCTTGGTTCCATTTGAAGGGGCCAGGGTTTCCATTGGCAGGCTTCGAGCCTCAAACTATTTGCCCTTTTGAGGTCCCAAGAGGCTTACGGGGATTTCCTTCGGCGGGGGGGAGGGGGGTGTCACACTTGCGCCAAGCAACTCAGAGACGTCCAGCCTGCCCGACTTGGCTGCGATCGCATCGCGCTGCGTGCGAAGAGATCGTTGGAGATCCACCACGTTCGGCAATGCTCCCATGGGCAGCTCCTTTGGCCAAAGTCCGGCAAACCGCCTTTGGGTGCTAGACGTTTAGATGTGTTTCTCTAGTTGTCCCGTGTCCAGAGATTTCAGAGCACATCAGACTCAGAACACCCTTAATCCTGGAAGCTCTTTCGACCAACTGTTTACACTGTTTGGAACGTGACTGCAAAACAAGGCAGTCTATGGTGAGATGTGGGAATCGTACAAAGGAGCACTCGGACAATGTATTGACGCAAATCCCAAAGGAGCACAATCCTTGGCATATTCCCACCCTACTGTTCCTTAGACTATGAGACCTTTAGCTTTGTAGGGTGGATTTATGACATGCGTATGCATTTGTTTTCGGGACCCTTTTTGCATCATGCAGGTCGGGACTTATGTCCACCAACCACTTTTGAGGGGGGTCATGAAATTCATTTCCAAGCATCCCACCAAGTTTGTGGCGACACAGTTCGACTCCAAGGGCTCAACCCTTGGGAGCTCCATGTCCATGTCCCGGTAAGGCCGGATTTTTCGCTTCTGGTCATATCGAAGTGAAGATTGGGAGCCTTGCACAGGTGCCTGCGAGACCTATGATTTTGATACCAGAAAGATTCCTGACAAAAGCTATCTGAACATCTTCCCACTGTGGTGCATGGCCTCTGTCAACTTGGGTGTGGTGCATGGCCTCTTGTCAACTTGGGTGTGTCTTGTTAGAGGGTGCCCGTGTTGGGGTTTTGCAAGGGAAACCAAAGGGAAAGCGCTTATGTTGGGGGATCCCTCCAGCAAGAGACACTCACTTGGTCTTTTGAGGTTTCCCTTTTACATCTACGCGAAGGGTGCCCGTACTTTGGATGTTAGCAAACACCTGGGTTGAAGGTCAGGGAGTCACAAAAAGGAGCGGATATCCGCCCTCTTGGTTCTTCGACATGACTTTGGGTAGATCCCTTTAGTACCAGGTCTTGATCGCTTGTTTCATTCCCCCAAAAGCCACCAGAACGAAAGTCTTGTTGTGACTTTGCTAAGTCGCACGGGAGCACACCGCAAGGGGGTTGGTTATCTTTAGGAACATGTTTCCAGGGCGATGTTCGTCAGGAATTGTGTACATGTTCTCTGTGGCCGCGAACAAATAGACCCAAACACAACCAAGGCAGATCCAGCCTTAACCAGCAAAGACACAAATCCCTATATTAGTCCCTCAAGAACCCTCCTCAGTTCTGTGTTGATATATCTGGAAAAGGGGGTTGCAGTCTGCGTGTTAAGCTTTGGCAGGCAGGCAGACCCTTGGGTCATTGAACCCTGCTTAGCGGAAACTGTCCAAACCCGGGACCTTCATTTTGTCTTACTTTACTTTTTGAGTTTTGCACACTTGAAGCTTTTTGTTTATGAACTTCTTCCTTTTTAACCAACTCTGTCAGGTAGTGGAAGGGGGAGGAGATTCTATGTGAGGGCAGCATCTGCAGGCCCCAAAGTTTGGTTAACGGTTCAAGCCGACCTGCGCTGGACGAGATCGTACAGGCGAATGCCGTGCGAAAAGGTGCCACTCAGCCATTTAATGCATACTCAGACCTCCAGTGGCGCCCTGCTTGATTGTTTGTGGAGACCTCCTCTGAAAATCAACGACCCAACAAAGATGTTGTTTCTTTCACTGGAGGAGTGAGGAGAAGAGTTTGGGTTCTCCAAAACTACTATTACTTATTTTAGGGTATTGTAAATATGAAAGAGACTCAGAAATTGGTATGTGAACCCCAGATGGCCAAGAAACTGGTGATGTGGATGGGTTTAGTTGGACTTCCGGCATCCCCACGCTTCGGGATGTTACTGGCCCGCAAAATGCTTTTCTCAGTTCCTTGGACGCAGGCCGAAAAATGACGAATTAGTGGTTGCGTCAGAGGAACCCTGCTTGGGCCAGAACGTTTTTTTTTTTTTTTTTTACTATTGTTTTTTTAGAATACAAGGTTTTACAATACTCATTACTGTCTCCTCATGACTGTCACACATCATGGGTGAGGCGAGCAACCACATGGGCAATACCCTTTTAGAGTGACGAGGATCCCATTTGAAGCAATAAAATCGTCAAGGGGATGCGAAACTTTGGTATCACAGAGCGGTTTGTTTCCCACAACACTGTGCTTGCACCCAATCCATGATGAAGCCATCGCACATCGATTCAGAGGATGGGTCAAGCAGAATGGCAATGGCCTGTGGAGGGCTTCCTGGCTCCTCCGATTGCTTTTGCTGTACTTGTTCTTTGGTTCAGTTGTTTGAACTGGGTTGCCCAGTTCAATGGCAGGCTGTGCCGTGGCTTGCATGCCGTGCCGCGTGGGAGACATTTTGGGGCACAGTGCAACTCTCAAGAAGGGCATTTTCGGTTTGGCTGGATCCTCATGACTGCCTTTTGGCATGGAGGCTAATCCCCCAATTCCCATGACAGTTGGGGACACAAGGACTACATGCTTGACCAACCAGCGGTTATAAAATCAACCTGGTTCCTCGCCCGTTGGGCACGTTCTTACTCCAGGACCCCCTGGCGCAGACGAGCATGCCAGACGCGAGCTCCACAATGGTGGCGAGGCTCAGGGCAGGTTTGGAGATTTGTTTGTGCTTTGGGTCCAGGTGGATCCTACGCGACATGTGATTGCCAGAACACCTGACTGCTCGGGCTTAGGCTGGTCATGGTCCCTTTCGTAAGGAATTCAGACCGGTACGGGATCTAGGATCAAACGCTTCGACTTGCGCAGGCATGCTGACATTTAGATAAATGCTGGCCGGTCAGCCTTTGCTGCAACCTCCACAAACAATCAAAGTTAATTTACACGCTGACGCGACACAGCCGGCCACCGGGCACCTTGCCCTGCCCATTCTGTCACTTCCCTTGTAAGTCCGATGAGTAGATGTTAAGATCTTAAAATTCTAAAAACTTTGAGATTCTAAGGGTCTCAGATTTGAAGACTTTCGGAATTTAAGGTTTCAATGGTTGAAGAATTAAGGTTTTAAGATTCACAGATTTAAGGCTTTTGAAGGTTATAACAGCCAGGCCATTGCCCAGCCATTTTCCATCCAAGGCTTTAAGCTTGTACTTTTGTGAGATTTTCAGATTTGGCGACTTTCGGAATGTAAGATTTTAAGATCTTAAGATGTCAAGACTTCAAAATTTGAAGATTAAGAGGTTAAGGAATTTAAAGTATTGCCCGTATTGAAGGAATTTAATTATATTTTTACTTGTTTATGAATTTAATATTTTCAGGTTGCAATAGTTCGAGATTCATATTTTCAGATTTTAACATCTGAAGATTCAAAGACATGAGGGTTTCTGTCACTTCCCTTTCCTGTAAGTCCGATGAGTAGATGTTAAGATTTCAAAATTCTAAAAACTTTGAGATTCTAAGGGTCTCAGATTTGAAGACTTTCGGAATTTAAGGTTTCAATGGTTGAAGAATTAAGGTTTTAAGATTCGAAGATTTAAGGCTTTTGAAGGTTATAACAGCCAGGCCATTGCCCAGCCATTTACCATCCATTATCAGATTTCGAAGGCTTTAAGATTTTATTTTTTGTGAGATTTTCAGATTTGGCGACTTTCGGAATTTAAGATTTTAAGATCTTAAGATGTCAAGACTTCAAAATTTGAAGATTAAGAGTTGAAGGAATTTAGAATAATATAGCCCGTATTGAAGGAATTTTATTATATTTTACTTGTTTATGAATTTAAGATTTTCAGACTGCAATAGTTCGAGATTTAAAGAATTTAAGTTTTTGAAGCTTTTAAGATTCTGAGATTTTAAGATTTTGAGAATTTAGGAGTTTCATATTTTCAGATTTTAACATCTGAAGATTCAAAGACATGAGGGTTTCTGTCACTTCCCTTTCCTGTAAGTCCGATGAGTAGATGTTAAGATTTTAAAATTCTAAAAACTTTGAGATTCTAAGGGTCTCAGATTTGAAGACTTTCGGAATTTAAGGTTTCAATGGTTGAAGAATTAAGGTTCTA